CATCCCAACTCTAAGGAAACAATGTTTTATCCAGTAGCAAATAATGGCTTGGGCATTGTCCGTGCCGTTGTGGGAAGAGGATCTTTGCTACTGCTCAAACATCTGTTTTACTTTTTTTACAAAAAAGCTGGATGGTTGCTCTCCAGCAGACAAGAAGCCCATCATTCATTTGCCAAATGAGATTTGCACAGGAGATGGAAATTAATTAGTGTCAAGGCAGTCTGGAATAGTTCCTTTCCAGTTCCTTCTTGGCAGCAACCTCTACTAAAGTGTGGAGTCCTATGAGTCTGGTACCATGTCTGCAATGCACCCGATAACCAAACAATAGCTCAAACAATCAAGGTTCCTTCAGAGACTTCAGCCATGTAATAGACGGATGTAGCAGTCAATACAGATTTTTTTTTAATAAATACAATAAAATAAAATACTAGTTTCTCCCATGACACATCTTAAGGGGCTTTTGACAGAGTTGTTCATGTTTTGCAGTTCTGCGCAAGCAGCAATATTAGACTTGGAGGCATAATTCAGCATCCTGAGAACCTTATGTTTCATTATTTACTTACATTAAATTAAAACAAGTTTCTAGCTCTTCATAAATCACATTCCCTTGGAGATAACATGTTGGGGGCCTGCATCTTCATGGACAGGGTCATGCGAATCATAATTTACAGCAACAGTAGTGATAGTCATAGTTCTTGCAGCAGCGTAGCATTGGTTGCTGGTGCCCAGAACAGACCAGCTGCCAATGCCACCAGAGCCACACACCCCTGAGTCAAGCAGGGCCATGCTGTGCTGTGTTGCCTTCCTGGATAGGGGGAGCCTGGCTGGCTGACGCAGTCCTTAGCAAGTGATTTGCCGCAGCACCTACACTGGGGTCACCCCTTGTTTCCTTCCCTCCCTGCCCACTCACTGTGCACCTGAACTGCTCTGCCACCTTCACCAGGGCAGAGTGGGGATCCTGTGGAAGCCAGCTCCTGCCTGGGGGCACCTGGTTGAACCCCCTCAGAATTTTGTGCCCGGAGCCATGCCCGCCTGCCCCCCATGATACCCCATTATGTCCTTGCTCTCTTTCCATCCTCCCCACTCCTGAAAGCCTTTTGGCAATGCCTGCTTTTTGCTGCTGTGCTTTGACTTTATATGGATTTATTTATTTTCCTAGCTGTTCCATGATTTTGCCTTCTGATGTTAATGGCTAACTGTGATCTACCTTAAGTTTCAGAAAGGTGGGGTAGAAATAGTTTGCATAAACAAATGGAACCCTATGCAAATAGGATGGGCAGGAGGTGAGGCTCAATAGCAACTGATGCTCTTCGGTGACTGCAGCGGTCTTATCATCTGGACCACCTGGGGTTGGATGCTGTACATGCCACACCTGGGCATAGAAAAGAAGGAGGATCAGGCAAGTTAGTGGCAAATCCAGAATATGGTCCATTGAAATAGACAACTCCTCAGCCCCAAATTCTTGGGAGCTTGCTACTCATTGCTAGAAGATATTATTGAGGTCAAAGACGTAAGCAAGAAGTAATTATAATAACAGGTCAAATGAATAAGCAGCTCTCTCTAGTTCATAGAGAGAGCCTATACCCTCTATAAAAAAGGAAAGAAGCTAAATATAGCCAATTCAGCAATTGACTAATTATTCCACAATTGCCCATCATAATACCAGCCTTTTAAGCATCTTTAAGTATGGACTAGCACCTATAAAACAATGATAGGATAATGATCGTGGGACTCGGTTGCTGACAGCTTGCAGCGGCTGAATGAATTTTGATCCTGAAAAAGTAATTGATGCAGCCTAGGTGTAAACAGAAACAGAAAACAGAAACCAATACTGTGCAGAGAAGCCAATAAATCTAACTCCCTATAAACCTGATGCACTCACCTTTATTATTGATCGTTTTTCACCACTGGCCTGCCCAATGGGAGTTAAGGCTGCATTTCCGCGTACACGTATTTGGTGTACGCATAATTACAGTGAAACATATTTCCATGTAAACAAGCATAGGACCAGTTTGCAGATGTGTTTAGGAGGGTTCCCCCACCGCACCACACCAGGATCTGTTTCCTAAAAAGCTCCTAATGAAAATGTTAAAATGACTGGCTTGTACTATGTGGTAAAAAAGGAGATCCTGTTGCAGCTGCAGGCTAGTTACCTCAGTCAAGAGCTGAAATGCCACAATAATGGCCACAAAAGGCTCTGAAACCAGATTGACTTTCCCATATACAGTGGTACCTCGGCTTACAGATGCTTCAGGTTACAGACACTTCGGGTTACAAACTCCACTAACCAGAAAGTGGTTGCTCCAGGTTAAGAACTTTGCCCCAGGATAAGAACGGAAATCACACGACAGCAGTGCAGTGGCAGCGGGAGGCCCCATTAGCGAAAGCGCACCTCAGGTTAAGAACCGTTTCAGGTTAAGAATGGACCTCTGGAACAAATTAAGTTCTTAACCCATGGTACCACTGTATATTCAAATAATCTCCATTATGGATCCATTAGATCACTGAGATATTGGAGCAAGCCTTCTTAGTTGTGCCATGAGACCAGCAAAAAGCTACCAGTTAAATGTGCACTGATAACATTTTACACCTGTATCCAGAGACATTCATTTTTGCACAACATTTGTGGGGAAGTTATACATCACATTAAACAGTTGTTATCCCACACTTTCCAGCTAATTGTCCCATCACTTTCCTTGATGGAAAAAGTCCCATTTTTTGAGGGAGTTAAATTTATTGTACAAGTGCACCAAATCAACTGTAATTTCACAACCTGAATTTGTCAGGTGACTGAATACCACTCAAAAGTACTGAAAAACTGGAAGCACCCTCTGATATAGTGTAGCTCAGAGAGAGAGAGAGAGAGATTTTCTTTCAGGCTAATGCAACCAGTGGCGTAGCGTGGGGGGTGCAGGGGGGGCCGGCCGCACCGGGCGCAACATCTGGGGTTAGGGCAAATCCATGGGTTAGGGGGCGCAAATCCACAGGTTAGGGGCGCAAATCCACGGGTTAGGGGGCGCAAATTACTTGCCTTGCCCCGGGTGCTGACAACCCACGCTACGCCACTGAATGCAACACTGTATTTTTTCCATGCACTTACACCGATTTAAATAAATCTGTTCTTTTATTTCAATGTTTTTGTCTAGCTACAGTATCTGCAACCTAGCCATTTTCCCAGGCTCACAACTGAAAAGGAAATGACAGCTTGGACAGTTATAAACAAGTGGTTGTTTACAAAGACTCTTTCCACTCTTGTATATTGCGAAGGCAAAAATGAAATAAATAAATGTACAAATAAGGTGCTTTTAAAAGGGGAAGTGGTGGTGTCACTACCTAGGTGTAAATCATTTGAAAGGTTCCCTTCCCAGCTTCAGCTTCCTCAAAAGCAGCCCACAGTTGTTGATTTTAAAAATAAATAAAACTGGATTTTAACCCTACTGGTGCTGTTGACCAAAGGCAGATAATTTCTGTGTCCATTAGTTTATTAAATTTATATCTCACCTTTTGTGGAGCTCTAGGGGGCATACATAAAGTTCCCATGCAATTTCCCATCTTGACACTGCTTAGTTTCAACAAAATTGTTGCACCGTGTGCCTTCAGACATGGGAATACTTAATTATATTATTATTATGGTTTGGGGGAAGGTTCCTACTGTGGATGGTTGCTGCTCGAGAATTTCAGGCCCCACACTCCTGTGGGTGCACAAAGCTGGTTAAGCCGTTCCGTTGTCGTCATCCACACAAGGCCAACAAACTGCTTATTGCAATAATAACTAGATACACGCAGCACTATTAATAGAACGTTCTTTATTAAGAAACAATTGTACCAAAATATGCTATGAAACAGAAAGGTTATGTTAAGAATCATGGACAAATCAATGCAGAAAGGTTTTGTAGCAGATTCATTAGTATTATTTTTTGACTGATTGGATGTTCCTTAGATATTAAAATTCATTAAATTCATTAGGTTAAAGCAGAACAAAACAAGGAGGGCTGAGTAATAATCAACAATACCAAAATTGTATCAAAATGCAATAGAAGTGCATGAGCTGTTCAACCGTGTAATGGACTCGCTCAGGAGGTTGTGGACTGTCCTTCACCGGAGAGGCTGGATGGCCATCTGTCATGGACGCTTTAGTTGCGATTCCTGCATTGCAGGGGGTTGGACTAGATGACCCTCAGGGTCCCTTCCAACTCTGATTCTATGAAATACATACAAGCTGTAAACATGATTTTTAAAAGTTTAAGAGGTCGGGGGAAGAAATTGCCAGTCAGTATTAATAATGTTGGTATCGGTTGCCCTTCCTCCTGTCTTTATTAAAAAGTTTACACATTTGCCACGATGGCAAAAACTCGGGACTATTGTAAAAAAAAACCAACAACATTAAACTTTCTGCCCTAATTTTAGGCATCCTTTTTAGCTGCCAGAGCAAACCGTGCCAGAACAGGCACTTTCATAGCCTGCCTGCCCAAAGTGCTTTGTTCTGCAGGAAGGTCAATCTTTTGGCCCTTCCTGGAGCTAGGGAGAAGGTGGGCAGGCAGCAGAACAGCTGGGTGATGGGAGGGCCACCCATGCCAACCATCGGACTGCCTCTGTTTGCCTAATGGTAGGAGCAGCCCTGGTTGCAGAGCTGTGTGACTGAGAGCCGGAATATAGACACCTGTAGTTGTCCCATCCATAGCACCTTCACCTCTGGCCAATCAGCTCCCCTGGAAGGCTGCCTATAAGGGAATGCAGACCTTGGCTACATCCCCCACCCTTCATCCAACTTGATTGGCAGCTGAACCCTCTTCCACAGTCACAGGTATAGATGCCTCTGACTATCCCTGAGAGAAGAAGAGGAGGAGGAGGAGGAGTTTGGATTTGATATCCTGCTTTATCACTACCTGAAGGAGTCTCAAAGCAGCTAACATTCTCCTTTCCCTCCCCCCCCACAACAAACACACTGTGAGCTGAGTGGGGCTGAGAGACTTCAGAGAAGTGTGACTGGCCCAAGGTCACCCAGCAGCTGCATGTGGAGGAGCGGCGATGCGAACCTGGTTCACCAGATTACAAGTCTACCACTCCTAACCACTACACCACACTGGCTCTCTACATGCAAAGAATTTGCTCTATTACCAAGCTATGGCTCAAGCAGATTTTGATCTGTTTCCCCCTTACCCATATTGTCATTGTTTATACCCTTTCAGATTTGAGTTTCGATTTGGACATCGATTTTTTTTAACCCACTTAAAACACAGCCAATTCTTTCTTCCGTGCTAATATCCTAATGCACAGCCATCAGCTCTGGGATCAGACCCTGCCCAGAATACATTGCTAGAAGAAGGCAGGATTCTCCAGTGCCTCCACCAGTCTCCTTTGGTGATAATTTGGCCCCGTCCAAACATGCTCCTGTTGTGCCCAGTTACGGGGGCCACGACCCTATGTCCCTTGGCTATCAGTGCTTCCGTGATGTGCTGAGGGATGCCATCTTCCAAGGACACGAGCCATGCATCCACTGTATGAAAGAAATGCATTCAAGGATTAACTGGACAAGCAAGACTGCAGGAATACTAATCGATTGCACAAATGCCATTCAACCCAAAAGACTTGGATTGAACGAAAGCATTAATTCATAGCTCTAAATCAGGCTTCCTCAACCTCGGCCCTTCAGATGTTTTTGGCCTACAACTCCCATCATCCCTAGCTAGCAGGACCAGTGGTCAGGGATGATGGGAATTGTAGTCTCAAAACATCTGGAGGGCCGAGTCTGAGGAAAACTGCTCTAAATCATGATCCCTTGAAAGGCAAAGAGAATATTCCAACCCATTTCCTCAGGATGCAAAAAAAAGAAATGTATCTATGTGTGGGAAAGAAAGAAAGAAAGAAAGAAAGAAAGAAAGAAAGAAAGAAAGAAAGAAAGACCTTAGTGTGACATTTGTTATTTGTTGCATCTCTGTCCATGTGTGTACCAAACTAGAATCATAGAATCATAGAGTTGGACTAGACCACAAGGGCCATCGAGTCCAACCCCCTGCCAAGCAGGAAACACCATCAGAGCACTCCTGACATATGGTTGTCAAGCCAAAACTAGATGCAGAATAAAGCACTTCCCTGTGTTCCTGCATCTGATGAACTACATATTTTAGATTTCCCACAGCTATTAAAATAAGACAAGGTTGTAAGGTGTCTGTATGCTCATTATGTGTGTTTAAAAACATGTCTTACCCTTTTTGTCATATTCGACACAAAAACGAGGCACATCCAAAGCCTGTTGTGGATTCATTCCAAATTCCAACATGTTGAGCAGTACCTACAAGGGGTACAGAATGGGGTAAGATGAACAAGGAAAGACAAGTTTCTTACATAAATTTGATACATCCTTAGGAAGTCATCAATTCACAGAGCAGCAACAGCCTGGGCAAAATAGGGGTTTTTTTAATGTCTTCACATAAATGGTGGAAATCACAACATGACTGACAAAGCAACTGAAGATGAGTAATATTTTAGCTTCATTATGAAAAACAAAGACGGTTTCACCGTACTGAAGCAGCACTGCAAGCTGGATCAGATGATACACGTACCCAATCATGGGGGAAGACAGCAACAGAACACTTGCCCTCTTCAACAAGACAGATGCCCATTCATTGGCATAACATTTCAGTAGGGCACAATTGCATGAAATCACACATGAGTACATCCAGATCGTGCAGCTGACTTCATCTAGGATGTCGATTGTGAAGTTCACTGGATTTTATGCCAGATATGCTGTATTCAAGTATTACTGCATACCCACGTACGGGTCTCAGAGGTGAGACAGGTGTGCCAAGTGGAGAGGAAGGCATGCAGTCAGGCAAGCCGACAACAACAACAACAACCAAGCAAACCCCAAACCCTGAAACAGCCTCAAACACATGAATTCTACATGTTTGCAAACATGCTTCTTAATTATTGATTCTGCACTTGGACTGCAAAGGATCTTCTGTAGGGTTTGCAAATGACACGCTTACAGAGAAGTAGTTGAAAGATGCAGAGGCTCACCTGAACATGCCCTTGTGGCTGCATGAATCCACCCATTACTCCAAAGGAGCACAGAAGCTCCCCTGTATCAGCATCAGTAGCCAGAGCGGGTATAATTGTGTGATATGGCCTCTTCCTAGGTGCCAAGCAGTTTGGGTGACCAGGCTGTAGTGAAAAATTGGCTCCTCTGTTCTAAAAAACAAGTCAGTACAGTAAAAGGCAGAGGCTGGCAAAACTGCCCCGTGGACAATTCCCTAACAATTTATGTAATTACCTAAGGCAATAGCAAAACAAACCCACATACACTGCTAAAATAGCAGCCAGTTACAAATTATGAAGACGCTACTGCAAAATATACCAAATATAAAAAGGTAAAGGTACCCCTGCCCGTACGGGCCAGTCTTGACAGACTCTAGGGTTGTGCGCCCATCTCACTCAAGAGGCCGGGGGCCAGCGCTGTCCGGGTCACGTGGCCAGCGTGACATCGCTGCTCCGGCGAGCCAGCACACGGAACACCGTTTACCTTCCCGCTAGTAGGCGGTCCCTATTTATCTACTTGCACCCGGAGGTGCTTTCGAACTGCTAGGTTGGCAGGCGCTGGGACCGAACAACGGGAGCGCACCCCGCCGCGGGGATTCGAACTGCCGACCTTTCGATCGGCAAGCCCTAGGCGCTGAGGCTTTTACCCACAGCGCCACCCGCGTCCCGTTATACCAAATATACAGTTTTAAAATTAAGGTGAAAAATCGCCAAACTTTGAACCACCTCCCTAGTGTAACCTCCTAGGTAAATATACCTCCCCAAACTACTGCACAGCAAATAAATAAATGACTCCCTCCATTAATGTAGGGACAGCCCTTCCCATATTCTACTTATTGTAACAAGATCTGATCTGATTTTATTTCATTTAATGTACCGTATTTTTCGCTCTATAAGACGCACCAGACCATAAGACGCACCTAGTTTTTGGAGGAGGAAAACAAGAAAAAAAAAATTCTGAATCTCAGAAGCCAGAACAGCAAGAGGGATCGCTGCGCAGTGAAAGCAGCAATCCCTCTTGCTGTTCTGGCTTCTGGGATAGCTGTGCAGCCTGCATTCACTCCATAAGACGCACACACATTTCCCCTTACTTTTTAGGAGGGACAAAGTGAGTCTTATAGAGCAAAAATACAGTAAATAACATTTTAAAGCCAACCAGGATATGAAATAGCAATATTATATACTGGATAGCACTGTGTGCCAATTAATATTAAAGCAATCTTCTCTCTCTCTCCACTATGGATGGAGGAGAAATTCATTTCAACATGCATCTCAAGATGAATCTATCTATGAAAAAATGTGCAAACCAAAACACAGCTATTGTTTGATATTTGCACTCATCCCTATTTTTCAATGCAGCTCTCCAATCAAACAATATTTAAAATGCATATAGAGTGGTACCTCAGGTTATGAACAGTCCTGCTTACAAAAGCTTTGGGTTACGAACTCCACAAACCTGTAAGTAGGTGTCCCGGGTTGTGAACTTTGCCCCGGGATATGAACGCAATCTGCTTCTGGGGCCGTGGGAGCCTGGTGTAGGCAATGCGTGCCTCGGGTTAAGAACACTTTGGGTTAAGAACGGACTTCCGGAGCGAATTAAGTTCGTAACCCGAGGTACCACTGCATCAGGGGCAAATGTGTATTAGTAAAAATTACATACAAAATGCATGGCATTAGGGGAAATTGCTTATAAACATGTGTACATTAGACAAAACAGCATATAAAAATGTGTTTATTATGAGAAATTCACGTTAAAATGCTCATGAATTTTCATGAGGATCATTAAAAAATATTTGCAGTTTGCTGCAAAATGTGGAGAACTGAATTTAAGAGGGGGAGAAGCAAAAGTGACAGATCTTTCCATTCCTGCTCTCCACACGTGTGTGCATGCATGCACACACGCTTGAAAGTATTTTCTCACTTGTAATGTAAATCCACAGCCATCTGGTACCAGCCCTGTGCCAAATCCCATATAGTTGCTGTTAATGAAAGAGCAGGCATTGCCTTGGGTATCCACCACTGTGAAGTAAACAGTGTCACTACCAACCGGGAAAGGATTTCCTTGATTATATTTGGCAGTTGCCCTGAAGGAAAAAAACAACAACAACTCAATAACTTCACACAGAAAAAAAAGTCATAAACCCAAATATCTGATTTCATAGGGGGTTTTTTTTCCTGAGAAGACCCTCCCCAGAGCCCAAAGAGGATGTCAGTGAGGGTGGAGGAAGCCCCCAAAAGACGGGAGGCGCAGCGGGGCTTTGTTTCAGTTGCTCAGCCTCCCCACCTAACAGCTGACACATGGGGTAGCGCAGCCGCAGCCACAGCCGCCACTTCCTTGTGCTGCCTCCAGCTGGCCACAGAGCTTCCATTTTGGTTTGGATTGAAGACACAACAGCAGGGGACGTGTTTAGAGGGTGCTCCCCATTTCACATAATTTTACTTATGCGTACGGGGGCCAGAACATTAACCCCTGCACAAGTGGGGAGTTTGCCTGTAAGCCGGGTTAAACAAGGTGTGCTTATTTATAAAGTGTATCCCGTTGTGCTCATGTCGTGTTTGTGGGCTTCACTTTCGAGCATCTTGTTGGCCTTTGTGAGAACAGAGGATGCTTCTCCTTACTTTCTTAATGAGCCCAGATGCAGTAACGCCTGCGACCGTGCGAGTTTTACGTTAGTAGGATAGAGATTGTAGCTTCACCCACAAGCAGCCTTGCATCAAGTTCTTAGTAAAGTTCCCTGCTCCCTCCCCCTGGAAACAGCAAATAGCATGTCACAGAAAGATAAGGCAAAAGCGACACAGGAAAGGAACAGTGCCTGTAAGTCTTTTTATGGTCAGGTAATACCTGATCAAATAAGGGGTTACCGCATTATTTTATGAGGTGAAACCCAAACACAACGCTGCCAACAAATTTAAACAAACATTTTTATCTAAAGTACACAATAGGAGGCTAACACACAAGGGTACTTTAAAAATGCCACATACATATAATCAGGTATGCCCTACTCTAGGTACTTAATCCCTTGGGTTTTCAAGGCCTGTTGTTTTCTAAGTATATGATTGAAGACATGGCGGGACTTAGCTATACAGCTGCAAATAAAACGTTTTAAGTGTGTTTTAAGCGCAATATACAATGTGACACTAGACGGCAATGGTGAGCCTTATGGAAAATTCAATGTATTTTTAAATCACTCTCTCTATATATATAAAAGCATTTTCTGAACTTTTTTTATATGTGTGTAGATTCCACCTTGGTGTTGTGGGCATGAAGGCTCACCAATTTACAACCGTGAGAAGTTTGTTTATCTAACATTAATCTCAGGGTCGTGGGTTTGAGCCCTGTGTTGGAATACTATCCTAGCAACATTTTTTGCATGGATTTCTCAATAGGCATTCGTGCCTGCAACAGCATACTCAAGTGGTGAGTGCCAATATTTATGTAGCCAGGGTCACTGAGAAGCAAGAAGTAGGTTTTAGTATGCTTCATGGAAGAAGTAAAGAAAACGAAAAGAAATGACCTAGAAGAGGCATAAAACCCCAAACAGCCCAATGAAGATAGTGCATGTGCAATAACTCTGTGAAATAACCACAGAATGTTGAGTGTTGGTTGGAAAGGGAAAATGGTGGTATTTAGAGTGGAATGCACCAGTTGGGAGGTAATAAATAGCAGGCTTGAACCCTGATCAGAAGCAATTCTCCCCTCACACGTACATACACACTTCCACTTGCTTCCATACAAATAAACAAATGCGCACAAGCGTTCTGCAGTTTTTGTCAGGCTCTCCTATAATAATTTATCTTTCGCCTGAATGCCTCACCCAAACTAGGTAATGCCGTGACTTCATAGGCTGGGGTCCAAATAATTGTGCAACTATTTCTGGATGCTTACAAAAGTTTGGGCTCGAGTTCCCCATTCCACAAAAGCCACTTTCAAACTGAACGGGGTTTTCAAAAGCAAGCTTTTGATATTGTGTTGCAGCCTGCTGTTCAAAGAAAAATGTCAAAAATCCCATTGGGCATGCCCAAATGCCTGAACTAACTCTTTGGATCCTGGCCACTGCAAATAAAAGAGGGCTATAATCTGATGTGTAAACATCAAGAAGACAGCAGCTACTTTGAAAGAAAGCCAAGGCCAAAGAAAACAACTGTTCCATATTTCAGGATCAGAACACTATAGAAGTCTACAGATTAGAGCTTCGGTTTCTGACCGTGGAGACCAGTCTTCAAATCCCCGCTCAGTCATGAAGCTCACTGGATAACACTGGGCCAGTCACCAACCCTCAGCTGAAGTTACCTCACTGAGTAGTTGTGAGGGTAGAGCCATTTAAGTCACCTTGAGAGCCTTGGAGGGGAGGTGGAAGATCAGTGCAATAAGAAATAAATACAAGCAGTCAAGAGATGACCCCTTACCTCTGTAAATCTATCAGCTTCGAACGGTCTCTGGCATAAGGTTTGGAAAGGAGCTTTGTTGTGGGTACAGCTACCTTTTCTGGATCTGCACAGAACCATAAAGTATCGGCAAAGCTAACTTTGACAGCTTCGATGAGGATGTGCAAATAGTGAGCAGTATTATGGCCCATTTCTAGAAAAGTAAACCAGCACAAGCATCAGGTCAAAAGAATCACTCACCCATGAAAACTACAATTGACTACACAAGTAATAATTGCACTGAATTCATTCACAGATTATGTTCTAGGGGCCTAAGAGAAATTGCAGTATGTGGAGTGCGCCAAAGGGAGAAATATAACTTTTCTTTCCTCTCTCTGTTCTCTTCCTCCTTCATCATCCACATTTGGCTATGTACACATTATTGGTTTAAAGCACAGTGAGGCCATTTTTTCACCCGTGTTTCTAATCACTTTTGCACATTGTTGTGCATATCAGTTTGGCTGGATGTGCCTCCAAGTCGTCCACTGTCTGTTCACACGGGTTTTGAAATTTAATAGAACACATCAAAGCGCAGTATTCCTCAAGAAACTGCAGGATAGATGTGGATTGTGGCAAATGTCATGTGCAGAGTAAATGTGAGTGTGTACACAACCGCTGCCTTGCCCTCCCTCCCCCTGCCCCCCCCACTCCTTTTCCTCCCCTAGCCAGTCTCCTTTCTGCACCCTGAACATGTTTCATCTCATGTGCTCCTGAGCAATGCCACCTCCAAGGCACTGCCAGCAGCCAGGGCTTCAAGCTAGAGGGCATGCACTGGAACAATTGTTTGAGGGCTATTGTGTGACAAGTTTGCAGAGTTTGGATTGCTTGGCTAAAAGTGTCTTGAGAGAAAATGGTGATGCAGAATGAACAGAAAACATTCACACTTCCTACCCTGTTATTTATTTTGGTACATAAAAAAGGAAAAGTCACCTGCAATTTAAAAAACAACAACAATTAACAATTAGTGCAGTGACTAATAGTAGCTTTAGTTTTGAATGGAGGCTTTTCTTCTCCTAAAGCTGAAACAATTGGAATGTTTCTTCCCTATTCTTTCTTTCCCCGCCTAAGAAGTAATAGGCCTTTTTTAAGATGCTGGTCATACCTTTCAAGTTGAAATTTTCTAAAATGTTCAGGGCTAATAGCGCTGTTATTCCTTGCCCATTCGGAGGGATCTCCCATACATTCAGACCCTGGAGAAGAAATAGTGGTCACTTCTCAAACACTGAACACCAGAAAGGGAACAATAAAGAAAAGGAAAACTTTCCATGCAAGACACTGATGATTTTCAGTATAAAAGTCTTTCCTGCATTGCTGAATCAAGACCAAGACTGTGTATGCACAAAACATTTAAAGCACCGTACATTTAAGGTTTGTTAAGGGTGCTGGGAGTTGTAGCTCTGTGAGGGGTCAGTGACTGTTCTCAGAATTCTTTTTTCGGGTATGATTTAAAAGGTAAAAGGACCCCTGACCATTAGGTCCAGTCGTGGCCGACTCTGGGGTTGCGGTGCTCATCTCACTTTACTGGCCGAGGGAGCCAGCGTACAGCTTCCGGGTCATGTGGCCAGCATGACTAAGCCGCTTCTGGCGAACCAGAGCAGAGAACGGAAATGCCGTTTACCTTCCTGCCGGAGCGGTACCTATTTATCTACTTGCACTTTGACGTGCTTTTGAACTGCTAGGTTGGCAGGAGCAGGGACCAAGCAACGGGAGCTCACCCCATCACAGGGATTCGAACTGCCAACCTTCTGATCGGCAAGTCCTAGGCTCTGTGGTTTAACCCACAGCGCCACCCGCGTCCCTTGGGGTATGATTTCAATGCATGCAAATGCAGTAGCATATAGCAGAGGTGACTTCTGTAATTTGTCAAGCAACTTCACTTAAGTATGCAGTTCAAACCTCAGTTCCCAAATGCCTCCGTTATCATATGTTTCAGCTCCCGAATGCTGGAAACCCAGAAGTAAATGATCCGGTTTTCAACCATTTTTCGGAACCCAAACGTCTGACACGGCTTCCGCTTGAGTGCAAGAAGCTCTTGCAACCAATGAGAAGCCCCGCCTCAGTTGTCGAACATTTCGGAAGCTGAACAGCCTTCCAGAACAGATTATGTTCGACATCCAAGGTTTGACTGTATACTATTTTAAATAAGTTTGATTTGCTCCCATACCTTCACCACACAAATGCTTTCTTATAACAACTGCCCTCATCTACATCCAATTCTTAAAGCTAAAAAAACAATTCCAGTCCATTTCATATGCATAGTATATTTGCTGCTGGGAAACAATAAGGGAAAAGTCATAGTTCAGTGATCAGGCATCTGTTTTGCATAAAGAAGAGACTCAGGTTCAAATCCTGCCCCAGAACTGAAATCTACTGCTGCCAGTCAGGGTTGACAAAAGCAGATCAATGGCCTGACTCAGCATACGGCAGCTTCCTACAGTCCTAATATATCTTTCAAAAAACATTTCAGAAATACTTAACTAGAGTGAAAGCAATGACACAAGATTTTAGGACTATGGGTCTGAGTGAAGATACATAAATAACTCATGTATATTTAACTTTTGCTTCTTTGTTTAAACACATTACTCATTGTTCTCTCTCTCTCTCTCTCTCTCTCTCCCCCGTGTGTGTGTGTGTGTGTGTACACACATCCAACATGACTAATAGGTTTATTAGTAAGTATGGGCTTAGAAAGGTACTATTATTAGCAGTACTGGAATGGCACGAGTGCAAAACATGACACACCTTCACTAATAATATGGTATCTGAGCTTCTTCTTTTCTTATGTGGGAACTCTGGCATCACAAGTTCCCCTGAGATTATTTGACACTCGTGAGTGTCACACAGGTATCCATACCTGATGACGTTTTACTTGCAGTGTGATGAGCTTTGACCAGGCTATATAAATGCTGGATTGCAATCTCTCTCCTTTCCCCGCTACCCAGTCAGAAAGGGGTTCCAGAGGTTTTGCCACTCAGTGATGCATGTCTATGTGCAAACATCTCTTGTTTGATTCATGCTCTCTTTCCATACCGCCGCTCACCTGTGCGGTGTGTTAAAAGATGGACTTCTTAACAACCAGGTGGAGGCTTGATGAGGGTTAAACACCAGCTTCTGAATACTATAGGAGTTTTAGACTGCAATCATCTGCTACAAACCTATCGGGGAGTAAAGACCCATTGAACTCAACATTTCACTTAAGTGGGTTGCCTTCGACTATACCAATTTTCTGAGCCCTGGATCATGTGGCAGAGCTCTATTTACAGTGGTACCTTGGGTTAAGTACTTAATTAGTTCCAGAGGTCCGTACTTAACCTGAAACTGTTCTTAACCTGAAGCACCACTTTAGCTAATGTGGCCTCCTGCTGCTGCCGCGCTGCCAGAGCATGATTTCTGTTATCAGCCTGAAGCAAAGTTCTTAACCCGAGGTACTATTTCTGGGTTAGCGGAGTCTGTAACCTGAAGCGTCTGTAACCTGAAGCGTATGTAACCCAAGGTACCACTGTATTTCAATTTCAACAGCAAGCATCAACCAGTTTTCCACATTTCTGCAGAAATTTGGTGTTTGTTTTTTTAAAAAAAATCATTGGCATTTTGGTGCATTTTTCTCATAATAAACACATTTCTGTCTGCAGTTTTAACTAATATACATTTAGTATATCTGTCTGCAGTTTTAACTAATATACAACTAATTTCACATTTTTGGAAGCAATTTTCCAAACACTGTAGAATGCTTTTTTGTACATTATTTCCCCCAATATTTACATTTTGTGTGCATTTCCCTTTAATATATGATTTTTTTGTAAACACTGCTTGGTTGGAGAACTGCATCGCAAAATCTGAATAAGTGAAAATTTCAAAGGATAGCTTTGCATCTTCTTTTGGAAAGTGTGGGTTTGACTTTAAATGTGAACAGAACTGAAATTCTCCCTCCCTCCTAGTGCAGAGTATCTACAGAACTAAATAATTAAGCTTATCTTGGGGAAGCACATGTTTCTATTGGTAGCTGCTACTGAAATTTGGCAATCTCCCAAATCAAGCAGCTAGCAAGGGGTTTTTTTTGGGGGGGGGGACGATAATTGCCAGAGGAAAAGTTAAGCATTGGTTTCCTTTCTCTATTCCAATTCAGCTTGTCTTCTCCTTCCCACCCTCTCTCCAGTGCAAATGGCTCCCTTTCAAAGGAGTTTTGCAATAGTGAAAGGGCTTCGGTATAATATGAACTTGTTTCCTTTGCATTTTAGGATGTACAGATGTAAAATAATCCAAACCTTTCTTTTTTGTAATTGGGGTGCCTTGGACCATGATCGCTCCCAGACAGTATTTTGTGGCAAGGATTCACACAAGTACTGGAAATTTAGGTTTGTGCAACTTAAGTGGATCTGTTGCCCCTGCACAGCAGCAAATCCCCTTTTTAAAAAATGAACTCTTTGCAGTTAGGAAAGTGATGGGAAAATGCACTGAAAAGCAGGAGATGAACAGATGATTAACAGGGGGGTGTATAACTACTACTGCACAAGCAAATCAAGATGTATTCAAGATGAACATTCTTATCATATAACTCCCTGAAAACAAATCAGAACAAATGCTTAATAAGGACAGGACATAGTCTAACCTCCACATAAGCAAATCGAGAAAAAGGTTGCCTGTATGAACCAAATTTCAGAGGCCTAGCTCTCTGGGAAGTACCATGAATTTTAATAGACCTGTGATTCAGTCAACAAGTCCTAGGTGCCTTCATATTACCTACTGACTAGAAAAAAGAGGGGCAAAATTCACATGGTATGCCACCAGATTATATGGCACTTAAATTGAATTTGTTGAGGGTACACATAAAGAAAGTAACCACCTCATCAGATATTTCAATCGTGAGCCCAATATGTCAGAAACACAAATAAGTGTTTAAGTCCACCTGTCACGAACACTTCAATTGACCTCTTCTCTCTCGCTCTCTGCACACATTCCCTCAAAAAACTGGACACCCCTCAATGTATTTCCCATTATTTTCAAATGAAACAACCCCAGCCAAGTTCAGTTTTGAGAGCCTGTATTCATGGCATGAGTGGGTCTGGGAGGAAGGTAAGAGTCTGCCAGGCAATTTTATTACCGTATGAAAATTACAGGATGAAAAATAGAGGCTTCAAAACAAAGGGGAGGGGGGAAATCCCAAGAATGACCTGGCAAGGAAACCCCATTTTCTTTCCAACCTTGGCTGTGCCACTGGAAAGTACCGCTTTGAAGTATAAAGAGAAACACATTGAGTAAAAAGGCATTCCCGTTCACAGAAAATTCTGTGGGAGGGACAGAGAATGCAAAAGCTGGACCACCATTGTAGTGGATACTCCCAATTCTTCCATTACTGGAAGAATTCAGCTGTGCGGCTGGACATGTGTCCAATTTTTAATATAAGCATTAGATATCAAAGGCTCAAAGCTTGTTAAAAGGTACTTTCAGAGGCACTGGGGAATGGAACAGAGGCTTCTCAGCCATTGTTCCCTAGTTATGGGATGCTTTGTTATGAAGGCTGCTGGAGCCTGGTTCTTTTTTTAAATAAGGAGACTTAGGCTCAAGTAGCAGGTGTAAGGTGTGTGTGTATGTTGTTTCTTTTTAAGGTGGGCATTTCCAGTGTGAGGTTGGACAGCAAGACAGGAATACTTCTATGGTTCAGATTGAAACTCAGAGAAGAATTCAGAGTTCCTAATTATCACACTGAGGTGAGCATTACAAACCTCGAAGGCTCTGAGCTCTCTAGGTACCGTGTATCCAAGTTTCACCAATATCTCTGTTAGGGACTCACGAGACTGTGCTCTAGTTGCCCGTGATTAATTCTACAAATGCCATTCATTTTGGAACATTGCTATCACCGCCTTACCTTGTAATTTGTGACAATAGGTTTGACTTCTTCAGAGGCGTGGCTTTTCAGGTCCTCCAAATCCATCACTCCACCATTGCTCTGAATAACATCCACAACAGCTTTGGCCACACGGCCTTCGTAGAAGCCTTGTTTGCCAAGTTCTGCCAACTCCTGGAAGAAGAAAATAATCTGGATTGGAAACTGCAAAAAAAGAAAAGTGTGTTTTTGGTGGGGGCAGAAATACTATGCAATGTGACCTTGGATTCTGACAGTGACACTTGCTTGCCTGGGTGGAGGGCAGAGCAGGGACGGGGTGTCTATGAGTGTATATATAAACCAGGAAACATGAACAAAGATAAAATTTACATTAGTTGTACTGTGCCATTTGCTGGTTGTTAGTTGGGTAATTTAGCTCTCAAGTGTCTGGTTTGCTGAAGGAATGCACTACAGACCTGAACATCATCTTAGGTCACAGTTCAGTAGCGGAGGTTAATCAAAATAGTCGAGGCTTAGAAGAAATTCCGACGAAAGAAGAATGGCAGACAAAATTAATGGACTGTGCAGAATTAGTTAAAATGACAGGAAGGATTTGAAACCTGTGGGACCAGAGATTTACAGAAGATTGGAAGAAATATACAAACTATTTGAAGAGCAACTGTAATCAACAAATTACGCTAGTAGGACTACAAGAAGTTTTGTAAGGAGAAAGGTATGAAGCATTGCAAAGTAGAGAAAGAACAGAGATATTAGTTATGAGTTAAATGTAATTGTGGAAGTAAGAAATGTATATTTAGTGAATAGATTGGAAATTTTTCAGATGTGGTTGATGGAAGTCAAAAAAAATGGTATAAGATATGAAAGTATGTTTAATTACTGTTGAAAATGATATGTTGAAAAACTACTAAAAAAATTATATAAAAAAAACAAAAACACAAACAAAATAGTCGAGGCTTAAATCCACAAATAATTTGAGCCATTATTTAAGTAACCGAATGGAAAGCTTTGGTAGTTAAGAACATAAGAGTAGCCTGCTGGATCAGGCCAAGGGCCCATCTAGTCCAGAATCCTGTTCTCACAGTGGTCAACCAGATGCCCGAGGGAAACCAGGACAACAGAACATGAGGACAAGAGCCCTCTCCCCTCCCAGGACTTCCAGCCTCTGTCATTCAGAAGCATCGATGCATCCAGTTGTAGAGGTAGAGCACAGCCATCATGGCTAGTAGCCAGGTTTTTTTTTAAAGCAATGTATAAATAAGCAGAGGAATAAATATGCCTCAAAAAATTGCTTATGCACTCCTTTGTAGTCTTTTGGCAAAAGACAGCAAGAAGTTAACGGTGGTGGTATTGGTATCATAATTATTTCAAGAGTGTTTTCTGAAAAATCAATTGGTTCATTAAAAGAGGGCAATGACTAACCAAGAATCTATGTAGATGGAAGCGGGAATTAGTAATCCTGATAGTGGAAAGGAGGGAGAAATCATTTTTCTTGATCCTTGTGCATTGTGTGTGTGTGTGTGTGTGTGTGCGCGCGCGCGCACGCCGCACATGTATGGCTGTTTCAGTTAGGCGCTTAAATAACTATGGATACCAAAATGATGAGATGTTCAAAAAGGGTGCCATGACTGTCTCGGCAAAGCCTTGGTCACTTGTAACACACATCAGCTGCACATTACACTCACAGACTGCAAGTATATTCCTGCATTGTAGGGGGTTGGACTAGAGGGCCCTCAGGGTTAAGCAATTTGCACACCATGGAGCTACAATTCTCAGAGTTGTTTACCAATCAACCCCTCTTCCCGGGAAACCCTGGGAACCGAGAATAGAAGCTCTGTGAGGGGAATAGGGGTCTCCAAACAACTCTCAGCACCCTTAACAGCTTCCAGAAATCTTTGGGAGAAGCCATAACTACAAAAGTGGTATCGCAGGGTGGAATTCAACGTCACATTATTATGGAAGTTCCATCTGCACAAGCGTTGCAGACTGCCAGACAGAACGACCCCGACCCCCGTTCTCCCTCTCACAAGCTGTTCCTGGCCACCCACCCCCACAATTTGGAGGGGCACAGGGAACATGGCAGAGGAGAAGGGCGAAGTCTTTGAGGTGATGGGCTGCATTAAATGAATGCTGCCCATTGTGCCATGAACGTTTGGTGCAGTGGTGGCCCAAGCCATAGCTGGTAAGACCAACTATTCCAGAACCATCCTTTCATGTGGCGGTAAAATGTAGTAACTTTATTAAATATTACAGCATTTTTATATTTGTTTGAAGGGTGTATGTAAAAAGCAAGGGTGAGCTGTCGCTTTAAAATTATAGCATGCACAGTAAATGAGTAGCTTCAGAAGTAAAGAGAGCACAATTAGGCACTTATGTACACAAAAGGAAACTGCCTGTCACTCCTGACGCGATTTCAAAGAAGAGTAACTTCAACGCCAGTCACTCAAAGGGGATATTAAGTTGTTGGTACCAGGCACCAACAAGACAAAAGGGCATGTGTCATTCCCCGTGTTTAAGCAAATAGTGTACCATCCTCTACGTACCAGGTTACCACCTGGCACCAATTTGTTAAATATTAACAGATGAAATTGGCAGCTCAAGCAAGGCTCATTCCTCAAGTGAGATAAATCATGTAGGAGAAGGATCTCTCTCATCTAACGCACTAACTCTTGAAAGTCATATATCCTGTTGTTGTTTATGTGTCATTTGTGCACTTATTAAAGGTTTGTCTTTCGTTGTACTCAAGAGCCATGGTTTCCAAAATTCCCAACAACAACAACATTGCTTATGTAGCAAAGAAATGCACTGTATTCCCTGCTGCACTTTTGAAACATCACCTCCTGCGACAGAAAGTAGATGCCTAAGACATTGTTGTTTACGCGCACAACACCCCCTAGTGAAACAGAAATACCTGAAGTTATTGGCTGGAAACAAAGAGTTCTCTGCAGACTGCTTTGTATAATTATCTATTTCAGCATGCATAGACAATATGTTCGACACACATCACAATGCACAGTTTGTGTACTCCCAGCTTCATTTGGGAGGAAATTATCTCATGTGAAGTGTATCCAACAGAGGCTAATTTCATCATTTCTATACAGTTCTCTGTAAGAGATCCAAAATCGGCCTCGAAGATATTCATCAACAGGGATGGAGGCCTGGACTCCCTTAGGTGACAGCTGACTTTTTCAGATGAAAACAGGGTTGTATACCAGGTTGCTCACTGTTCACAGCTTTCATCCTTTTGTGAGTGAATAGCAATTCTGAATTCAAGCAGTATCAAGCACCGCACACATCGATCTAAGCAAATGTGACCAAGGCAAACAAGAAGCTCACAATTCATTTGCCATGGCAACAGCAATGTTGAACTTCTAGTTCACATTTAGTTTCCAAAGGAGATTGTAACATGGAATTCTGTTCGAAGAGAAAATATTCCCCCCCCCCCAAATCTCACTGGACATGCTCTTTGGATCTATGTCAATTCTCTTCACACATTCGCTGTTTTAGGGTCATACATCCATGGGATTTGAGTTTTTATTGAGCATAAGATTTCATCTATCTGGTGGGTGATTCTGCTCACTATAAGGATCTGCAATGAACTGGAATATTTGTACCAAGAACATATAATTCAAGGCCTATATGTGGTTTAAATTTGCTGAACGTAGAATTTAAATGCTGAGATCTTTTCATTCCCTCTTTGTGTTCAGCTACCTGGCCCTGATCCCTCCCAGTTCTCCATGCCATCACAGCAGCTAAGTCAATAACAGCTACTGGGGCCATTTGCTATCACCAGTGAAAGCCCAAGGCGACATCACAGTAGCTCAGCCAATGGCATCAAGAGATACAGAAAGACAGAGGGGACTGTCTTTTGAAGGAGTGAACAGTTTTGAGGAGAGGACCAAATATACCTGCAACCCATGGTCTGTGCATATGTTAATCGTATATTAAATTATATTTGCATGTTTTAAATGCGGATAAGTTATCCACAACTCTTGAGCGTAGGGAAATGAATACATGTTGGTGGAGGAAACAACCCAAATTGGTTATGAAGAATAGGTTAAATGTGTTACATTAATCCAAGATGAACAATGGAAGGGAATTAAGCATGACAAAGGATTAGTTTGAATCCATCTTCTCAGCCTATAGTGGTCTGTTTACTGATTTCTATGAGATTGGACTCTGAACAGCTTCTCAGCCTTACATTAGCTCCTCAGTAAGGTTAAGAGGCAGTATTTGTTAGCCTGCAGCATACTGACATTTATAATTATCAGAAAAATGAAAAAGGGAGATGTTGCTGAAGAATATTCAGATACAGCCTCCAAATCCCTTATGCTTAGTGGAAACCAAGTTAACCTGGAAGCAAATTCAATTGCTGCGGAAATAAAATTAAATTTGATGTACATTACTGTCATTCCCGACTAACTTCCTTGCATAGCGTGAAACATTTCTCTTATGATAAATACCAGCCTTCATCATTCCCATGGACAACACGTCTCACTTCCTCTCTAAAAGCACAGATGGAGAAGGGGGCAAGGGAAGGAGTATGGGGTCTAATTCCACAATGAGTGCTGCCCTGATCTGATCCTTTCTCTGTTCAACACGTCAGCAAAATACCACTTCCTAGATGGCATGCTCCCAACATCCCTTCAAGATCAGAGCAGGAAAAGGATATGAGTCAATTACCTGCACCGGGGCAGAAACGAAGGGTCAAAGAAGACACCACATGAAATGCATCTTTAGAAAGATTGTATAGAATCATAGAAATGTACACCTGGAAGGGACCACAAGGGTCATCTAGTCCAACCCCCTGCAATGCAGGAATCCTTCTGTCCTCGAACCCACAACCCTGAGTTGAAGAGCCTCATGCTCTACCAACTGAGCTATCACATTAGGATTTAAAAAGAAAAATAGTAATAGGTGCCAGAAGAGACTGATTCTTATTGGGGATGCAAGGTATGAGTAAGGGAGAATTAAACATCAATTTAACTGAGACCACAGAATGCACGGAGGGGAGATTTAGTCCTTTCCTCACCCCCTTACTGCTCTTACCCCTTCTAATGGGGAGGCCCCACCAGTGTCAGCTATAGCTTTCTTTCTAAGGCTAATAGCAGCGTGGGTGGGGTGGTTTTCCCTTAAAATCATGGTTGGGGAAGAAAGGGTTGAATCTCACCTCGTGTGTTGCAGACCCAATAAAACTGGCCCCTCTGCGCCAATCCTATATATATATATATATATGTGTGTGTGTGTGTGTGTGTGTGTATGTGTGTGTGTATGTGTGTGTGTGGTTTTCTAATTTTAAACCACTTTGAGGTTTTGTTTTTGTTTTTACAATCAATCAGTAGATGCATTTGGTATAACACCTAGTTTGACCCTTGATTCTCTCCTTTTTAAAACCAATCGTGCACTGAAAATACTGAGATTTGAGGCAGCACATCTTGTAAGCTTAAGTTCCATGACACCAAACAGCTTTATTCCCTCTACACCACACTGAATTATATGGAATTCAAATTGCCATACAGTAAAACACAGTATATGTGAAATAGAAGAAGGAGTAAAGATACAATTAGAATTCATACAGCATCTAGCAAAGCACATTACAAGGGGCAGAAAATGATTAAGTAGTCTGCCAAGACACTCGTCACTTTTCAAAAGATCTGGGGCGGGGAGGAGGCAGTTTGGAAATCACTGTTCTAGAAGAGCTTTGAAGAAAAGCTTCTTCGTGAGCCCTGAAATCTGTCAAGAGATTGACCAAGAAATACTTCAGGCACCAAGAGTTCATCCACCAGCAGTTCCACACTTGCAAAGGGTTGCCAGTATAGGATCGTAATATCAGCCAGCCAGCACTGACATCAGAAGTTTCCACACTGCATGGCACCTGATACAGTGGTACCTCAGGTTAAGTACTTAATTCGTTCCGGAGGTCCGTTCTTAAACTGAAACTATTCTTAACCTGAAGCACCACTTTAGCTAATGGGGCCTCCCACTGCTGCCGCACCGCTGGAGCACAATTTCTGTTCTCATCCTGAAGCGAAGTTCTTAACCCGAGGTAGTATTTCTGGGTTAGCGGAGTCTGTCACCTGAAGCGTATGTAACCTGAAGCTTATGTAACCCGAGGTACAACTGTATCTCCTTAGAACACATTTGCAGGAAGTACATCACAATACGCATCCCATCTCATCCATGGATGCAGAGTCACCTGAAAACAATTCCTGAGATTGCAACAGCTGTAAAAATGGGCTGCTGCCATTGCATTGGTTGCTACCAGGATTTCTGCGATTATGGCACTCAGGCTACATGTACACAGCCATTTATTCCATTTTCCTGACATTTCCCTACCTGCTAATTTCTGAATTATATTTGAGTTTCTGCACGACGTTAAAAACGTCTTCTGGAAACATAGTGGAACATAGGTCTGGTTTGGAACTCGTTTCCATGTTATTTGTGAACAGATCTTTTTCTGGAAGCAAATAACATGAAAATGAACGCTGAATTTGTGCTACATTCCGCTGTATTTCTATAAGCAGCTTTTACACCGTGCGAAAGCTCAAATATAATGCAGAAATGAACAGCTGGGGAAATGTTGAGGAAACTAAATAAACTGCTGTTTGAATGCAGCCATAGTTCTGAGCTGAGGACACTGGGCTCAAGACAGTTCAGCTCACCTTAAAAGTGTCTGCCAAAAAAGGATTGCAGAAGACTTGTCCGTGATCAGGTGCTTGGCCATCTATCAGCAGGTCCTTCCCGTGTGGGTTGCCAGGCGCCTGAAGAGCATGAGCATTTTTCTTCCAGCAGTAGGAAGCAATCTCTGAGAGTGGAAAGCCCTTCTCAGCCAGGTCTATAGCTGGTTGCAGAATTTGCCGCATGGAAAGCTGGACCGGGAAAGATCACGCAATTACTTTTCCATCTAGATGCAACATTTGAAACGTACATGTGTCTGATTAAAAACATTCCCAAGGCCCTCCTCTTTACAAAAATTAACCCTATGAACAAAGATGTTCAATAGACTATCAATAAATGGTAAAGTGGGAGAAAATATTAAGCGACCAAAACACTCCCAGGTCTCTATGACTGTGAATATATGCTTGAAAATAAGCTGACAATCCGGCAAAATCTCAGAAGTCAGGTGGGGTAACATTTCTGGTGATGGGGAAGGAGATTCCGTGGCCTCTATTTTTCCTTGCATTTCCGTATATCTGGAAGGAGTGGAAGAAACTGTGCATAATAAACGAAATTAGCAAATTCAGATTTATTTGTGGTTTTTTAAAAGTGCAAAATATAGTTGCTTTAAAAGAACAAAAAATCTGCCAAAAATAAACAGTTTTGGTTATGCTATATTCCTGAATCTGCATGTTCATTTGGGGTTCACCTTTTTGCTTCCATGCAGAGCAACAGCATCGCACCAGCCAGCTGCCGCACCAGGTACGGTGACATTGTGTGCATGTAGTGGAGGGGGACGATTTGCCTCGCTGAAGCCGTGATCTTTTAGCAGCTCAAGGGTCAGGGCCTGCGGAGACCGACCGCTGCAAAGCAAACACAGATCCACATGGAAACCGAATTACAAGCATACTGAAAAGATAAAAGGGGGGAAAGAGCATCCATTTGACCTTATTAAAAAAAAAAAAGTTTGATGATGGTGCTACAGTTTCTAGGCACGGCACTGTAACAGTGCTTAGAAGGCTCCTGGCAGCAACCTGAAATAATGTTGAACATTTTCCATGGCATTTTCACAGAAATGATTCATCAAAGGCTGAAATTCTGCCGTCTTTATTTCCAGAAACTCTTATTAGATACACCAACCAATCGCTCTTCTTAAAATGGTCTGTTTCAAACTACTATTCTCAACATATTACATTAATTCAGCAACACAGAAACAGATGTTCTTAACCCATATGATGCTCTTAACCCTACGAACTAGAATTGTTAGGTCCAAACCCTCAAAGAGCTTCTGTACCAGTAATATATGGGTCAGGAACTGCCAGCCTGTGGGCCAGACATTGCCCCTGGGACCTCCCAGTGTCCCCTCTAGACTTAAAAAGAAGAAGTCTTTGGCTGGAGCCAATAGATATTTTCAAGCTCATGGAGGCATTTTCAGAGTGTGTGTCACAGCCGGAAGGGGAAAAGGTAATCCTCTCCATATTACTCACACTGCCAACAATGCTCCACCAAGTCCCCAAATGCCCTGTTGGCCTGAAAACAAATCTATTGGCTCCGATGGGCGGCTGCCTCCCCATGCCTCATTGTTGTGGGTTATGGGTGGTTAAGTCTCCCTTCCGCAGCTGCAGTCTCCAGGAAGATCACCCCTTCCCCATGAAATAAGACTTGGGGATGAAACGAAACTACTTTCCCCCAAAACCTAATTGCTGGGGGGAGAAATGGTATTTATTTATGTATGCATGTGAGTTAAAGTGCAATGTGTATGCCCACCACTTGCATGAGGCTCCCAGAAGGTTGGTCAAGATAGAATGCAGCCCTCGAGCTGACCTGCTTTAAAAGCTACTCAAAAGGGAACACTCTGCCAATGGTAGTATCTTCTGTCACTGTAGTCCTTTGATCTGGCAACTGTGGCTATTGGCTGACTATTCCTGTGTTAGGCACATAGCCCAGTTTCGATGGCTGATAGAAGGCGGTTTGCTGATAAGTGGGAAATCTCTCCCATGTGTTTGAATGACAAGCTTGAAGAAGGCAATACACACACACACACACACACACTCCAGCTAGCAGAGAGGAAGAGAATGTATGAGCTTTTCATAGAAAATGTGTCTGCCCCTGATGCACAGATCCCCACAAGGCTTCTCTGCCCTTCACTGCCCCACCTTATGGCTCCTGTATACATTAAAAAAGCCACAATACAGCTTGTTGCACTACCCAAACCCAGATCGTGGTTTGTTTCAAACAAATCATGAGCGATAAGCCAGAAATAAACCAAGAAACGAACCTTCAGTTGAAGGTTCAGTTGAAACAAACAAGCCACAATCTGGGTTCAGACAACATGACAAGCTATACTATGGCTTGTTTGAGGTGCGTGAGTGCTGTGGGAGGAGGGAGAATTTGCATAGGGCCTGTGCGGCAGGGCAGGAGGGAGGCACACTCATATTTGAATCATGGCTTAATATAGAAACTGTCACAGCACACGAACCAAGGGTGGGAGTCAACTAAGTTATTGCATTTGCAAAATGAGGTCCATTCATGCAACGAGACTTCTTCCTGCACCACCTAAATCTATTCTGCGAGTTTGAAGGAACCACCAGAACAGGTTTAGAGGTCGCGTGGGGGAGAAGAGGGTGGAAAAGTCTTGTTGCACAAGTTGACCTTGTTCCCCACATGCATGCGCCACTTAGTGCAATGTTGCTCTAAGGAGTTTCCTGTTTCTTTGTGAAAGGTTCCTGGGAGGAAAAAAATAATCAGAGGAATTTCAGCATGTCCTGCTCTCTGCCCTTGGACTACAGCAACAGGAACTAAAGAGCACCTGGACCCGATGCTATCCTTTTATAGCATCTTCCTATTAATATTCAACTTAGACCTAAAGGGCAGCTATTCCTCTGCAGCAGCGAAAAGTTGAATAGCATATGAATGTAGGAAAATCAGAACAGAACGAAAAGGAAATGAGGTGCAAAGCTGGATTCTGACCTCCTGGTTAAAATGAAAGTCTTCCCCATATGAAACCAGAACTGCAGACACTCTGTCCGCCAGGATGTTTGCACAAAATCATTATCAAAGTGACATTATGCACACAAGCCTGAAGGCACGCACTAAAACTGGACAAACACCATTTGTATACATTGCAAACAGGCTTGTGATAAGTGTGGCAAGCCTGAACAAAACCACTAAACTGAGCCCCGTTATATACGTGGAATTCCATTGAGAAATTCTGTCCAAGTAATCTGTATCTGCTTATTTTCCAGCAGTCGAGCTAGTGGCAACAAGCTGGTTTGCTGTGCCTTAATGACTCTCCATTTGCCACAGTTTCCAGCCACTCCCCTTCCCAAGCTTCCCATCGTTGCCAGTGCGATCCAGAAGATAGAAGGTTGAGCTTCAGTCCGGAAAACCTGGATTCAGACCTGTGCTTTGAATTCATTGTGTGTCATGAAGCAAGTCACATAATCTTGGCTGGCCAACTATTCTACTTCAGTGGGACTTAACCCCAGGAAAGAGTACATAGGACTGCAGCCCTAGTCTAGCATTCTGTTTCCTGTAGTAGTATCACCTACAATAAAATGTATGATGTCAGAAAAGGAAGTGGCATCTCTTCACTCAGCAACCTGGCTGCCATTCACAGAGGAGTTCTCTTAGGACAATGATGGCAAACCTTTTTGAGACCGAGTGCCCAAACTGCAACCCAAAACCCACTTCTTTATCACAAAGTGCCAACACAGCAATTTTACCTGTATATCTCATTTTTTTTCTGTGTGTTTCATGCTTCTTCTTTATGACTGATGTTGTAATAAATAATCCTTCAAAAAAGTTATTGCATTACATTCTTCATTAAATTATCTTTCCATTGATATATAATTTTATGGTATAACTCAGTGCTTTTTTCTAAAAAAAATGTTTAGGGATACTCTCGTTTTGACTCAAGAAAATCACCACCGGGGGGGGGGGGAATAAATACAGTTCAAACTGGGGGAAATCAATACAGTGAATTTCTTCTTCCGTTAACTTCACAAAATGTTTAGGAGTATGCGTCTCACTGCATCCCCACAGAAAAAAAGGACTAGTATTACTCCAAAACAAAGTGGTGTTATGAGCCATCAAACCTCAGAAATACATTTTTTCTAGAAGGTTCCATAATTTTGGCCACTAGTGTACACTGGAGGGCTATACTAAGAGCCACCCTCTCCCAATTTTTAATATGAGAAAATAATGGTTGTCTGCATGTGCACATACAAATAAATATAAATAAATAAATAAACCCAGCCAGATGGCCAGGGTATAAATTATTATTTATTATTATTATTATTAATATTAATATTAATATTATTATATTTTGCCTTTTCTTCGGATGCCGTTTGATTGCAGTCTCCACATTCTCTGAATTTCTCTGTTGGCTTCTGTGGGAAAGCCCAGCAAACATGTAAACCCAGCAGCCCCTTCTTAGGCTGCTGTCTTTATATGCTTACTGACCCAGGGAGTTAAGCCCTGCTGAACTCAAGGCGGCTTACTCCCGAGTAGGAAAAACAGACTGGCGGGAGGCCCGGGCGCATCAAAAGTCAATGACTGCTTAGCCCCTCACTCACTTGCCAGGCCCTGGTGCCGCAGGCTTTGAATGGTGCGAGCCCATTCTCCTCCTCCCCCCACCCTGGCACAGAAGCTATGGCCCTGGTGCCACAGGCTTTGGACAGTGCGCATGAGCCCTCCTCTCCTCCTTCTCCTCCTCCCCTACCCCCAGCACAGAAGCGACAGCCCTGCATGCCCAGAGAGAGGGCTCTGAGTGCCCTCTCTGGCACACATGCCATAGGTTTGCCACCACTGTCTTAGGACTCAGCTACATTAGGGGTTTTTTAAAAAGCGTTTTAAAAACTGTATGTCATAACACTGTTGACACCAGATGGAGCTGTGGAGTTCCATCTTTTGGCAATTATGAGGTTACAACACGTTTTCCTGAAATGTTTTTTTGATGTGTCTAGATCCATGCTTAGTCCTCTCATTTCTCGGCCCCTACTCTCAAACCAGCAGCAAAAAAGGTGGTTTGGGAGGGTGAGTGGGGGAGCAGAAATTACAAAGAGAGAAATCCTAGATGCACAGCTTACTCCAGCATGTAACTGAATACAACTATATTTTCTAATACGTAACAGAATACAACAACTCTCTGCCCTAGTACATAGCAGAATACAACAACTGCTCATGTGCGCTCTCTCTCTCACTCTCTCTTTCTCTCTCTGGTACTTACCTTCCATTGAGACCATGTACCTGTTTTGTGCTTGCGTCATAATAGAGGCAGAAGCAGTCTCCACCTATGCCGGTACTGCATGGTTCAGTCACATTTAAAGCAGCTGCTACTGCTACAGCAGCATCTGCCGCATTGCCACCATTCTTTAAGATATCTGCAACAGAGATACGCTCATTAAAAAGAACAACAACCAACAACGACAACTCTAAACTAATAGTGACATGCATACCAAAACAGGGTGTGGCACTTTAGGAAGTGTTAGAATCACAGGATCCTAAGAATTAAAGAAAGCCATGCGAATGATGATTTTCAACTGTAATTGAAATGATTTGAGAATGGTTTTGTATGCCAGAAGAGAGGAAGCGCGAGTGAGTTACACTTCCTAAATTGTGGAAACCTCAGCCAGGAGATCTTCAGTATAGCGCTGCACCCCAGATTAGTCACAGGGGTCTAAAGAGGCACTGACTTAAGTCTGGAGCCAACCCACTGAATGTCATATACGACCCACAAAGGAAAAACCAACATTTCACCCATTAAAATAACAGCGGAACTAATTACCGATGCCTATATTTGTTGCGAGAGTCTGGCTTGACGCAACGCAAGCGCTACTGCAAACCACCGGGGACCTCCGAGAACAGAAATTAAGATGTGGCATCCTTTTCGGAAGAATATACAACACACACAAAAAGAAATGCGTATTAAAAGGAAAATCTGAACTAATGTACGAAAATTAATGCGAACCCCAAAATAAAATGGATGTAAATGGACCCATATAAAACTTCACAGAGTTCTGCAAAACTCAAATTGTTGTGTCCAATATAGCTTACACTTATATATACTAAAGTTACATCATATTTTATGTAAATCTCTCGTTTTCATTTGGCAAGTGAAATGGAACTGCCCAAACAATATCATTCTTACTCCCAAATTCCCTTGACTTCAACAATAAAACAACTGTTAATTAAATGAGTGTAATTTTTCCTCCAGGTTCAAAATTCAAGTTGAGGAACAAACTTGATCCACAATTTCACACACACGATTTTCACCAACCGAAGTTAGGCTGTGTAAGATTCAAAGCCGTCCTGATGGCTTTTTATTCAAACCTGAGAACTCTGAATACGGGAATGCTGTGTTCAGTCTACCAAAATTGGGCTTTAGCAGTAACACAGTGCAAACACAGTTGCTTATATGTGCTGATCCAAAGGCTCGGATTGTGGTTCTGTTGCTTGATATAGTGCAGCACAATCTGTCCATGCAGAGGGAAAGCTCAGTGGGTACAGGATGAGACTCTTAATCTCAGGGTCAGGGTTTTGAGCCCCATGTTGGGTAAAAGATTTCTATATTCCAAGGGGTTGGCTTAGATGACCCTCATGGTCCCTTCCAACTCTACACTTCTACAATTCTGATTCTATGCAAATGATAATAATAACAACAACAACAACAACAACAACTCCTATTGCAACAGTTTGTTAGAGCAGGCCCCACTTGTTCTGTAATAATGTGTGTATCCAAAGTGCCTTTCTTTCAGGGAACCACAGGGATCCAGCAGAAAGGTGCAGGTACTTGTTGAGAAGCAATTGCAACCCCCACCACTCCAAAAATCCTTCATTTCAGGACAAGGAAGGTATCAGTGGTGCCATATGGACAGGACCTTGGGGGCAGAGGTCCACAGTCCCACTCAGCAGAATAAGGAAGGGGTCCCAAACACAGTACGGAGGGTTGAACACATTTTGAAGTGACGTAATGCACATTACTACCTAAAGAGGAGAGAGGAGAATAATTTATTATTATTATTATTAAATAATTTATTATTTATACCCCACTCATCTGGCTGGGTTTCCCCAGCCACTCTGGGTGGCTCCCAACAGAACACGAAAAACAGAATAAAACTTCAAACATTAAAAACTTCCCTAAACAGGGCTGCCTTCAGATGTCTTTTAAAAGTAGGATAGTTGTTTATCTCCTTGACATCTGATGGGAGGGCGTTCCACAGGGCAGGCGCCACTACTGAGAAGGCCCTCTGCCTGGTTCCCTGTAGCTTTGCTTCTTGCAGCGAGGGAACTGCCAGAAGGCCCTCGGAGCTGGACCTCAGTGTCCGGACTGAATGATGGGGGTGGAGACGCTCCTTCAGGTATACTGGACCGAGGCCGTTTAGGGCTTTCAAGGTCAGCACCAACACTTTGAATTGTGCTCGGAAATGTACTGGGAGCCAATGTTGGTCTTTCAGGACCGGTGTTATGTGGTCTCGGCAGCCAGTCCCAGTCACCAGTCTAGCTGTCGCATTCTGGATTAATTGCAATTTCCGAGTCACCTTCAAAGGTAGCCCCACACAAAGTGAATTGCAGTAGTCCAAGCAGGTAGTCCAAGCAGGAGGTAACCAGAGCATGCACCACTCTGGCAAGACAGTCTGCAGGCAGGTAGGGTCTCAGCCTGCATACCAGATGGTCCAGAGTCTACACACCACTCTTAGAAATTAGTCACTAGTGATTACGCTCACAGGTGTGGGGAACCTTTGGTCCTCCAGATGTTGCTCAATAGAAACTCTAATCATCCCTAACCCTTGACTCATGGGAGTTGTAGCCTGGCAGCATCTGCAGCACCAAAGCTTCTCTTGCCCTGAAACAGTACCGCCTCCCTACTAGACAGTCCAGCCAATCAGTCCTGCCTAGGGACTTTTGCCAGAAGTGGAGTTTTGTGCATGAGAGATGCTAGATAAAGCAGCTCAGTTGGACGCTACAACATGAATACAGTGGTACCTCTTGTTATGTATTTAATTCGTTCTGGAGGTCTGTTTTTAACCTGAAACTGTTCTTAACCTGAAGCACCACTTTAACTAATGGGGTCTCCCACTGCTGCCACGCCGCCGGAGCACAATTTCTGTTCTCATCCTGAAGCAAAGTTCTTAACCCGAGGTACTATTTCTGGGTTAGCGGAGTCTGTAACCTGAAGCGTATGTAACCCGACGTACCACTGTACTCTTAATCTCAGGGTCATGGGTTGAAGCCCCACGTTGGGCAAAATATATATATATTAAAAACATCCTATACATTGCAGGAAGTTGGGAGTTGATGATCTTCGTGGTCCTTTCCAACTCCGCAATTCTGCAAAGCGTTTTCGTTTTTGAAACTTCTCCGGCTTAAATAGCAGCTGTCCTTGAACTGCTAGAACCCAATACTAAGAATCTATCAAGAATGTATAACTTGTTGTTGAAATGGAATACACAGGATGAAACGGTGAAATCAGCTATGATTAAATGGGCACAAGATATTGGTCATGATATTATGTTTGCTGACTGGGAACAGTTATGGACCACCGGTGTTAAGTTTACGGCATGTAATGCCTTAAGAGAAAACATAATGAAAATGATTTACAGGTGGTACATGACCCCAGTCAAGCTGGCAAAAAATCTATCATCTGCCGATAACAAATGTTGGAAGTGTAAAGAGACTGAAGGTACCTTCTACCACCTTTGGTGGACATGCCCGAAGATTAAGGCCTTCTGGGAAATGATCTATAATGAAATCAAAAAGGTACTCAAATGTACCTTTCCTAAAAAACCAGAGGCCTTTCTCTTGGGCATTGTCGGCCAATTGGTGACAAAGAGGGATAGAACTTTCTTCATGTACGCCACAACAGCAGCAAGAATACTCATCGCAAAGTATTGGAAGACACAAGATCTACCCACTCTGGAAGAATGGCAGATGAAAGTGATGGACTATATGACATTGGCCGAGATGACAGGCAGAATCCGTGACCAACGAAAAGAGACGGTGGAAGAAGAATGGAGAAAATTTAAAAGTTATCTTAAGGACTACTATAAACTTAATGAATGTTAAATGTTGTGGTTTCCAGAAACAAAGGGGTACAGGGACATAAGGTTAGAAATATAAAAGAGGACTAAGATGATAGAGACTGGAAAGTAACAATTGGGAGTTGCTAGTTGAATTATCGACATTGGGATGCAGAGAGGGGGGGTATGGGGAAGTCCAAGGAAAGAGGTTTATGAAAATAAGTTTGAAACTATACGTGTATGTTTGTCAGTTTTAGTGTTGTTTGTCTTTCTTAAAAGTTTTGTAAAACCAATAAAAATTTTATAAAAAAATAAATAAATAAATAGCAGCTGTCCATCGCCTTGCGGGCACAGATGGGCGGGGTGGCGGCGCGCGAAGGCAGCACCCCCCGACAGGCTATATACTCAATTGGATATGTTTTCCCGTCAGGGAAGGGAGGTGCTGATTTGGGGTTTTCTTTCTGCAGCTGAGGAGAAGCCTCAGGAACGGGGCGGCGAGGAAGCGGAGGCGAGCAGCGCTCGGGTTTCCAAGGCGTGGCTCAGCCGAGCCCTGCCAGCTGCTGCCGCGGCTTAGCCGCTTCTCGCGCCCCGAGGGCAAAGGTTGCACCTCCTTCTGTGCCTCGACGCCCAGGCAGCCCCAGCCACGCGCCCGTCTCCTTTAATGGACCTACTTCTCCGGCAGGAGACAGAAAACAGAAGGGGTGAAAACAAAAACAAAAACGGAGCCAGCCGCCAGGGGTCCCTTTCATGCGCGCGCGCGCTCTCCTCGCCCTCCAGACGCCCCTCCTACCTGGCGCGCGCTTGAAGAGGAGCAGAAGCAGCAGCAACGTTGTTCTTAGGGAGCCGAAGAAGCAGCGCTTTGGGTTCGCCTCACGTGACCGCGGAGCACGTGACTCCGAAGCCAAGGTCCCTTCGCACCTATGGTACCCTACGAGGAGAGGAGTGCCGTTCTGAATCCCTTTGGTCCCTTCGCTAGATATGATTTGGGGCGCAGGAATAGACGCTGCTTTGCAACATTTAGGGCTATTTGAGGGGTGGGGCAGGGCCGGATTTAGATGAAGAGAGGCCCAAGGTAGGCTACTCCACTTGTGAGGCCCCTCCCAACCCCCCACCCTCAGGACTAGAAGAAAATGAAATAAAGCCAAAGATGATGATGGGTATTTAAAATTCTGCGATTCTCAATTTCTCCTCTAAATTACGGAAGATGTTATTGTTAAATACCATGGTGATTTTAAAAAATGCATAAAATTAACACAGAGCCTAGGGCTTGCCGGTCAGAAGGTCGCCGGTTCGAATCCCCGCGACGGGGTGAGCTCCCGTTGCTCGGTCCCTGCTCCTGCCAACCTAGCAGTTCGAAAGCACGTCAAAGTGCAAGTAGATAAATAGGTACCGCTCCGGCGGGAAGGTAAACGGCGTTTCCGTGTGCTGCTCTGGTTCGCCAGAAGCGGCTTAGTCATGCTGGCCACATGACCCGGAAGCTGTCTGCAGACAAATGCCGGCTCCCTCAGCCTATAGAGCAGGATGAGCGGGCAACCCCAGAGTTGGACACGACTGGACCTAATGGTCAGGGGTACCTTTACCTTTACAGATCCCTAACGTTTCCAGTATAAACGTATCTGCTAATCTACTTTCCAGACCTCAGGAAAGTCTCCTTCGGCTTTGTTGCACTGAGGCCTGTGACCTTAAGAAAACGGTTGTATTCTTGGGAGCAAACACAATAAAATGGGAACCAACCGATGATATTTCCCTGTACATTAAAGTACATTTCCCCCATGTGTGTAAACATTGGTTGGAGTACTGCATGACAAAATTCAGATATGTGCGAATTTCAAAGGATAACTCTTGTTTCTGCTTGCACAGTCTTGGAAAATGCAAATCTGATGAATTTGCTTTTAAACATGAACTGGAACAAATTTCTCCCCCATCTCAACCAGCACAGCCATTGATGAAAGGTGACATAGAAAGTTCACCCAACCATTATTTAATGTTACCTAACGAGCACTGATCTTCGACTTTCCCTGTTGCTTGTTTGCTATCTTTTGAAGATACCTTTCTGCTTTATCAGAAAGCACTTATCCTTATCAGAGTATATATGCTTCATGCATTAATCAGTGGGTGTTTTCCATTTTGTCCTTATCTAATGTTTATAGTGGGTCACTATCCAGTATCATGTAACAAGGCCTTGGGTTTTAATATTCCACGCATTTCATACAGCCAGTAGAATTGATTCCCAAGTACATGCAAGCAGTGCTTTTTTTCTAAAAAAAAATGTTTAGGAATACTCTCGTTTTCCTACTCACATTGAAATACTGCCCCTCAATGAGGCCAAACTTAGATTCACAAAATGTTAAGAGGTATGCATACCCCTGCGTCGTCATCGTCCCCTCCCCAGAAAAAAGCCCTGCATGCAAGAGATAAAAGCTTGCAAAGATTGAAACCACACATTGTTACCTCCCAGTAATCACATTATGATTATGATTTACAGCAGACTCTTCCCCACACTGTTCTGAGACAGCAGAACTTGTCAGCTAGTATACAAAAAGGGAGACCTTTAACTTAAGGTTACCAGATGTCCCTGTTTCCCGGGGACAGTACCCAGATTTACAAATCAGTCCCCATACAAAATCCATTGAAGTTGAAAAGTGTCCCTGGATTCATTGAAAAAAATCTGGCAACCTTACTCTAACTATATATGGTGATGTTTTGCTCTTTTCACATATCAAGGTGGTGAGAACAGCATTGAGGGAGGGTGTGAAAGATAGGATGCAATTTGCTACTTTTGCCCCCAGAGAATTGAAGCACGTATGAAATGGCCATCATTTTTCATGGGGTGTATGCATTCAACCAGCCCTCATCTCTAGAGAACAGGTTTCACATATCTCTGTATTGCTTCAAACACCTGTGGAACCCTTGACGAGATGGCAGTGGAACAAAGTAATGTAGCATGTACGCCGCAGGTGGTGATTTTTCTGTCTTTGCCCCATCAAGTCTGCTAAAAGCTATCATCTGAAAGATTCACTACAGATTAGTCCACAGAATACCATGTCATGGGTGGGCAGCCTGTGGCCAGATGCAAAAGAGGGCAAGGTCTCTAGACCTTTAATTTCAGCAGGTGTCATTTGTGAAGCTGCCCCATGCTTCCATCCTATCATAGAATCATAGAATCGTAGAGTTGGAAGGGTCCCTGGGGGTCATCTAGTCCAATCCCCTACAATGCAGAAATCTCAGCTATAGCATCCATGACAGAAGGCCATCCAACCTCTGCTTAAAAATAATCAAGTCCACCACCTTACAAGGGAATCTGTTCCACAGTCAAACAGCTCTTCCTGATGTTTAATCGGAATCTCCTTTCTTGTAATCATACCCCCCAGAGCAGAAGAAAACAAGCTGGTTCCATCTGACAACACTTCAGAGTTTTTAAGAGGGCTATCATATCCCCTCTCAGTCTCCTCTTTTTCAAGCTGAACATACCCAACTCCCTCAACTGTTCCTCATAAGATATGATTTCCAGACCCTTGATCAATTTGGTCGCCCTCCTCAGCACACATCCCAGCTTGTCAATGTCCATCTTAAATTGTGGTGTCCAGAACTGGACACAGTACTTCAGGTGTAGTCTGACCAAGGCAGAAACAAGTGGGACTATGACTTCCATTGATCGGGTCACAATACTTCTGTTGATGGAGCCTGGAATAGCATTAGCTTTTTTGCTGTTGCATCACATTGTTGATGCATCTGTAAATTTGATTAGCATTTCCTCAATTCCTCCATCCAAGTTGTTTCTAAAGTCTGAACAACAACAGGCCTGGGGCAGAACTCTGTGTCAACCCACTTGTCACTTTTTTCCAGGATGATGAGGAACCATTAATGAGCACTCTTTGTGTTCAGTCAACCAGTTACAAATCAAAGACTTACCTCATCCATCCCACATTTTGCCAGCTTCTTCCCAAGAATATAGGGACGCGGGTGGCACTGTGGGTTAAACCACAGAGCCCAGGACTTGCCGATCAGAAGGTCGGCGGTTCAAATCCCAGCGACGGGGTGAGCTCCCGTTGCTCAGTCCCTGCTCCTGCCAACCTAGCAGTTCGAAAGCACGTCAAAGTACAAGTAGATAAATAAGTACCACTCCGGCAGGAAGGTAAACGGCGTCTCCGTGCGCTGCTCTGGTTTGCCAGAAGCAGCTTAGTCATGCTGGCCACATGACCCGGAAGCTGTACGCCGGCTACCTCGGCCAATAAAGCGAGATGAGCGCCGCAACCCCAGAGTTGGTCACGACTGGACCTAATGGTCAGGGGTCCCTTTACCTTTACCTCCCAATAATATAATGGGTGACTTTGCCAAAAGCCTTGCTGAAATCAAGATACGCTACATCTGCAGCATTCCCCTGATCCACCAAGCATGTAACCCTATCCCTATAAAAAAAAAGAAACTTGGCATGACTTTTTTTTGAGAAACCTATGCTGGGTTTTAGTAATCACAGCATCCTTTTCTGAATTAGTTATACCAGAATAGTGTTGTGCCTGGTTCTATCCATCGCCCCAGCAGGTTGCCCTTGAGCGAATGCTTTCCAGTAGAAAATGGCTATTGTACCCTGCAGAGATGATGATGATCAAACTTTGCTCTGCTTGCACAATTTCCATGGTTCATCTGAAAGTCATGCATTGTTTGACACAGCTTTTATCTTGTTCTTACTCTCAAGGTAGCATAGATTCATTATCAGTGCCCTCACCCATGCAAACTTATTGGGGACTCCCTATGAAATCACCTAGGCCGGGTGATGCAACGAAACACCGGTGAATTGTTCATTTTTATTTGTGCCATGACAAAGCATTTAAAGGAGGGGGCGGAGGGTCAAAGTACATCACCCAAAATACGTCTGCATCCCTGGAAAGGGCATTTTCCAATAATCAAGCTCCAAACCACTGGCTGTCTTGTCCATGCTAGTAAAATATTAACAGAGGTATCTGGTTGTCATGGCAAGATGAGAGGTGGTTCTGGACGTAATCTCATTTGGGGGGTGGAGGGGAGATGCAGAAAAATGAGATCATGACAATGTCGGCATATAAATGATCAGAGCACGAGTTAGCTGGCAGACTGCAACCTCTGTGAAGGAGACCGTAACAAGTGGGAATTGGAGACACAAGCGGACTGGGTTAAAATAAACCAAGAAGTTTTTGTCTTTCAATACTAAAGGGATCCATTCTTCCCTAGTGGTGCCTGCGCTATAGTTTTGGAAACATGTGTTGTGGAGGTTGTGCAAAGTGCCTTGGAGGTACTCTCATTCCTCTGGCCGTGCTATGTACCCTTGCTAATATTTTGTTGTTTTTCCCCGGAGGAGAGGTCGAAACCAGTGACCATATTTCAGATGAAGTTTGGTACTTTGGAGGGATCTTGGGTTCTGGTGTACTGGTGAGTAGGACAACGCACTATGTTCTTCTCCTTTTTATTATTGCCTTGAGCTTTACAGTGAGCAGAAATCCGACTACACTATAGGTGTGGTGGACAGTCTGTGTTGGAAATTAGATTGCCAATGCGTTGACTATGCAAGCTGGAAATTCAAACAGATTAACTTGAAAACGAATTGAATAGTCTATTACAAAAGTAGACCACTTGCCTATTATGTTAAAAACAAGACAGACATGTACTGCTGAGTTGCCTCTAATAAGTCCATAAGCATTGCTCTGCGAGATTAGACCAGTGTTTCAATTGATTGATGGATATTGATTGATTGATTGATTGATTGATTGAAAGCTTTTATATGCTAATATTTTAAAGATCTTTCTAAGTGATGGAAAACATAAAAAATGAACAATATCATTAAAAGAAAAATACAAAATAAAACCAGTATAACAGTAGTATAACAGCACATGAAAATAAATAAAAGCAAGAAATTGGGGTATTCAAATGCAAATATCAGGGTCAGGCAAAAATATATGTCTTTCCTAGAGGTTTGAAGCAACGAATGGTTGTTTCTTTGTCTATGGCAGAGGGAAGGGCATTCCATAGTACAGGGACAATGACAGAAAATGCCTGTTTTTGGGTCACCACCCTACAATATTCTTGGGCACAGAGTTGAATATCCTGAGACAGTCTTTCAGGTGACCTGGTCTTACATTCCTACCAGTCCAGCATTACTTAGTTTACAGCAATAGCCAATACAGCTGAGGTTTCTTAATTAAAATTACTTCTTTGGGTGCTGGGACATTTGCAGCTGAGCTTTGTACCTTGTAAAATTTGGAAGTAAGTCCCATGGCACCGATACCTAAATGAAATTTGGTGAGGATTCCACTGTTGCGCGACAGTGATCCTGCTGCTTCCTCTGAGAGTAGACCTGCCAGATGCAAATGCTGGGTCTGGAAAAAGACGGTAGACATTTTAGAAGAAATACAGTGATCTTAGGAACGACCGAGCCTCAAAGTGCATTTTCTGTTGTCATCAGATGGTATTTCCTGCTTTAGTCTTCCTGGGTCTTAAGAATAACGATTGCTGCGGGTGCTGTGGTAATGAAGGTTGTGGAAAGAGGTTTGCGGTAAGTATAAAAGCAATGCCCTCCAACATCTCGCTGTCATTCCTCACCCCACCCCTAGCATTTGCCTCCTGAGGCTGCTGTCTTACTCTTATCTAATGATAGGGCTGGCCCTTAGAGAGCCAGTGTGGTGTAGTGGTTAAGAGCAGTAGACCCGCTCCTCCACATGCAGCTGCTGGGTGACCTTGGGCTAGTCACACTTCTCTGAAGTCTCTCAGCCTCACTCACCTCACAGAGTGTTTGTTGTGGGGGAGGAAGGGGAAGGAGATTGTTAGCCGCTTTGAGACTCCTTCGGGTAGTGATAAAGCGGGATATCAAATCCAAACTCTTAACATCACTGAAGCGACTCTCTCAAGGCCAAAGGGTTGAGAACCTCACTTGTGACTTCTGCCAGCGTAGGATTCGCAAGGGGCAGAAGCTGGTCTGGTGAGGTGGAAACACACAGCAGCAGGACTGGCACAAATGCCACTTACTGAGGGGGTGGGGGGAGCAGGGGTAAGATCAGGGTTGTGCGTGTGCACAGGTGGTGCCACTCCTTTCGTCCCACTCGCATAGTCCTGGCCCCGACACCATTTATCTCCTGATAAGCAGGAGAGACGTTGGTGTTCCTGGCACCAGGAGGTTGGTGCTTGAGCCACTCCTGCCCACAGGATTAGGAGAAGTCTGTGGATTTGGATAAGGTGACTCTCTGATGCACTTCCCTGCGCGCCATCTGTGAGTCATCGAAACTGCAAACATGCCAGATGGATTTTTAGGATGGACTTTGGCTTTGACCTTTTGCTCGTTCTTGGCAGATGTTTACTTCCATAATATTTGCGGCAGTTGGAGTTGTGGGGGCTGGATACAGCTTTGTTGTGTCGGCTGTCGCCATGAACAGAGGCCCTAAGTGTCAGGTAGCAAACAGCACCTGGATGTATCCCTTTGAGAACGGGTAAGATTTTTTTTCAACCTCTGGATAGATTCTCCATCTCTACTGGAAGGGTTGTTGCTTTCTCGTCTTGATCTATAAATTCTGTAGCAAAGTGCTTACCAAATATTATGAGCCGCTGGATGGCCTCCAACCATCAGTGTTTCAAAGAGCAACTTGTAAGGCTGAGCAATCACATTTCTGACTGGCGGTAGGGGTTTTCCTCATAGTCTGGGTGGACAAAGTCAGCAGAGCCTTTTCAGTGGTGGCACTCAAGATTATGAAATGCCTTGCAGCTGGCCCCCACCTTCATTTCTCCCCACACCGGTTAGTTACTAAAGACTATTTTATTCCACCTGGCTTGTATTTTAAGAAGCAGACAATGGGCGGAATCCATAAAATGCTTCCACTAGCACAAGGATGTTTACTTGCACAATGGAACTTCTCCTCTCCTGTCCCCATCTGCCCTCTTTCCCCCCTCCCCTTAAGTCTGCTCCAGAAGGTTGAGGAACGGATTGAAAGGGCACATGAGGAGAGGAAGGGAAAGTTCTGTTAGACACTCCCCAATGCTTTTCATCAGTTTTAGACAGCAAAACCTGTGTCTCTTCCATCCTTGTTTCATAAATTGTAGTGTTTGAAGTTGCAAGGCACCTTGAGTGGTGTTTTTACAGTGCAAGGGTGAAACGAGCCATTCCTACAAGTGGCAAGAAGTTCCAGAGGGGCAGTGCTTACCTAGCTTTGAATTCCTATGAGAGGAAGTCATTGGAGCATTACTCCCAATTAATATATATATATATTTGTTTTCATTTACAAGTGTACTTCTTGAGTATAGTTGAGGCACAGCTTAAACAGCCAAAGTTCACTGCTCCCATGTCAGAAAGAGACAGCCAGCACCCCAAATACTTCCAGAATCCAGAACTCACTTATTTGTGTGTCTCTCAGTCTCCGTTAGAAGTGCAACCTGCCTCTTATTTCCTTTAACCTACCTGAGACACATGACGCACCACTGAATATTACAGGATAACAATTTGCTTGCATTTTAATGAGAAACTACTTAATTCTGCATTTCCTGAAACAATATGCAAACTAAAGCAGCTATCCTTCAAAATTCGCACTTCTCTCTCTCTCTTTTTGCAGCACACTTCTCCAAGGCAAACAATGTGTACAAAAATGCATATTTTACAGGGAAGCGTGCATAAAAAGCATACGTGCTTGAAAATAGCATATAGGAATGCATTATGGCATGGAAAGCGTATTGCCAAAATGTGTATATTAGGAAAAACTGAATACTGAACAAAGATGTGTTTATCGGGGGGAATTTGCACTGAAACGCTGAAGGAGTTTCATGAGGATTAAGAAAAAATTGCTGCAGAAATGTGGAGTGCTGAATTAAAGATTGACCGGGGCGGGGGCGGGGAATATGAGAAACTGACAGTTAAATTGAGAGGTTTGTCCATTTCTGAAAGTGCTGGCCAGGTGTTCCCTCACAATGATAGCCTTACTGACAGAAATATAATAGAAAATCAATAAAGCTTCTTTTTCGGGCACAGGGAGTATCTGACTGACCATAAGTTATGGGAAGACTGCACATTTCCAGAGTCCATCGTTCCCTGGAACTTGACTCTGTTCTCTCTACTGCTGATAATGAGCGGAGCTCAATTGGTGCTGTGTGGCGTCCAAGTTATCAACGGACTCCTTGGAACGCTGTGTGGGGACTGTAAATGCGGATGCTGTGGGGTAAGATGCTTTCGTTGGTAGCAACATGTATGAGCATTCCTGGTGCCTCTCCCCCTTTGCCAATTGGGTTAACCAGCTGCTCACAGTCAAGGCCAGCCTAAGACATTTTGCTGCCCAAGGCAAAGTACACATACTGAAGCTGACCCAACCAACCGTTTGGCCTTACTTCGCACTTCCCCCATGGTAGGGAAACTCTAGTCTTCAGGCCAGTCTTGACCCACACAGATCCCAGTTTCACCTGCAGTGCCTTTCCCCCCTTCAAAACATCACCCACTTGTCAATCAGCTGGCATCACTCTGAATGATGACAGTCAACAGGCAGAGGATGAGATTCAACTCTTAAGTTGCGCATGCCAGTTCCTCACAAGGAATTGATTCATGCAGCCAAGGCACCAGTATTTAACTCCCCCCCCCTTAGCAGCTGATGAATGGGGGGATTAAATCCTGCTTCCTGGTTGGGGTGGTGGTTTTTACATTATGCTCAGTTCAACCAGGATTTAGTGAAACCCTTTTCCTGAGCAGTACGCTGTTTAATTCAGAGCCCGTGATAAAACAAATTTCCTTTCTCCATTTTAGTGACATGTGATTGATGGCCCTGCGAAACTGTCAAATATGGCCCGCAAGGCCAATCTTGATTAAAATATGGCCCATGGAGCAAAAAATAAAATAAAATGGGGGGGGGGGTTTCCACACCCCTTTCTACTAATGATAGAGCCGGCCCTACCTATGGTGTTTGTTAGTATTAACCATGCATTTTCCAATACAAACAAATGCACAAAATGTTCCCCATAGCCTTGAAATTGCAAGGAAGGAGGGGATGAACAAGCTGTTCTCTAATTCCCAGCATACTGTGGACCTTTATATGGGAAGCAGACTTATCCGTCATTTAACAGTTGGAGGGGGTCTTGTCCATGTAGTCCAACCCTTGTTTGATGGAGAAAACCCAGAGCTAGAGCCTCCCTAAGAGGCATTTGCCTGTCCTGTGCTTGAAGACCTCAAGCAACCACCTTGCTAGGAAATTTGTTCCAGTGTCACATGGCTCTTACCGTCGAGATGTTTTTCCCTTCATGAAGTCAATATGCATACAGATAGAGGTGATCCATTAGATACACTGTTTACTTAAGATTTGTACACATTGCTGGCTGGTTTAGGGGGAAATACAGAATTTTCATAAGGAACAACAACAAAAAAGATACAGAATAAATATGCACCAATGTCATGTGCACACCACTTTCCTAATCAGCTATGGGAGCATAGAGTAACACCCCCCCCAAAAAAAGCTTTAAATTAAAAAGCTATAAATTTAAGGCAACCTGGCATGAGAGCCCAAACTATGGGCAAGCTGGGAGCTTCAGCTGATGGATTCTCATCCTGAGTAAACTTAGCAGTCATGGAATAAGAAGCGAGGTCCTCTTATGGAGCAGTAAGTGGCTAAAGATGAAGAAGCAGAGAGCAGGAACATATGGGATATTTCTCCCAAAGGAGAGAAGTGAGGTTCTCCAAGGATCAGTACTTGCAGCCATGCTTTTCACCTTGTTTCTAAATGACTTGGTGCTAGGGGTGAGCATTGAGATGGCCTCTGTTTGCTAATGGCACTAAAGTGTCCCAAGGTGGTAAGGACTAAAAAGGGATTGCATGGAGCTCCAAAAGGATCTTTCTAAAACGGTTGAATAGGCATTAAAATGCACGTGTGGTTTAGTCTCACTGTAAGCAAGTATAAAGTGTAAGCTGGGGAGGAATAGCAAATATGCACAAGCAGTTTTGTTGCAAACTCTCAACAGTCATTTAAGCAAAAAACAAAACTCTGCCGGAAGACTTAACAGCATGGGAGCATAACTGGAGGCTGACTGAGAAGTGTCAAAATAAGGCTCCTCCTAGCTTTGCCAAATAGAGGATGAAAGCTATGACCAAATATCATGATGAGGATGATTAGCCTTTACTCTTGTCAACCAGCGTGTAAGAATTCATTTCCCTCTTATCTTTTCTTTTAGGGAGATGGAGCAGTTTAAATATACAGAGACTGCAGAAATCACCTCTTACGAGGCCGAAAATGCCCTGCCAGACCTTGATATGATGGGCCAAGCCAAGTACACACTAAGCACATCTAGAATGAAGGGTGTTAGAAAGAGCCCTGACGGCATTTCCCCTTCACATCTCCCAATGAGTTTTGCAACTGTTTGGGCTATATAGCAGGGGTGAGAAGAAAATGTCCAGCCCAAGGTCCTCGTTCCCTCTTGGCCAACCCTACCAAACCACACACACATGCATGCAGACACATCAGTTGTCCGCCTGACCCTAAAAAGACATTTTAGCCTGTTCCAGTTCTCATTGCTGGACCCGTGGTAGAAATCTTCCTGGAGACCGCAGCTGGGGAAAGAGGTTTAATCTTTCCCAGCTGCTCCCAACTATGCCCTCCATACTGCAAGAAGGCTTTGTCCAAGCCTAATTGCAGTGAGGGAGAGGCAGTGGGAACGGGGGGTGCTGGGTGGGGTGCTTGCAAGAGCAGTGGTCTAATTATGGTTGCCGTGTAAGGACCTGGGCAGCCTTTTTAAAAAATGAAAAGCCAGCCAGTTCATTTTTGTCTACTTCAATACAACCCCAAAATTAGAATTTCTGGCCTTGAAATGTTGGCAACCCAGAAGCATCTCCCTGTTCCTCTTTCTCCCCAGCTGGGGGAGTTACTTTTACGTGAATACTGACCTCCCTATCACCACTTATAATATATGGGGAACATTGTTCAGCCTGAGGGCCATGTTTTATTCTGTGTAACCTTGTGAGGGCCAAACAACAGTGGGTTGAGGGCCAGAGACAAAAGTGGGTGGGGTCAAGAATGTAAATACTATCTTTATACAGTTTCTACAGCCACCCCTCTGTCCTCCACTCAGGCGAGTAAGAGGCCTTGTCAAAGGTCCAGGGCACGTTCCAGCCAGGCACAAACAGTAAAGGAGGGTGTGAAGCTGGCCCAGTGAAGGTTGTGGCCTGCAGAGTCCGAAGGGCCAGAGAAAGAGGTCTGAAGGGTCATGTTTGCCTCCTAGGTCTGAGGTTTCCCACCTCTGCTATAATTATGCTGAGTCTTGTTTGCCATGTGGAAAGATGACAACCCCCATGCTTCCAGAACTGAAGCATAACTGTAGACTTCCTGACTGGACTTGGGGTGGCCAAGAGAGCCAATATTTGTATACACCGCATCCCAATGAGGCTTTTGTGCTCGATTACTACATGTCAGGAGAAGTTTAGCAGAGGCAGCTGTGTTGCAGTGAGAAAAGCTGCTGCTCCTCCTCCCTTCTTTTGGACATGTCTGTTATAGGCACAGAACCTTCCTTTGAATTGATTTGTTGCTCATAAGGGTTGCCAGATAATTTCTGGGTTTGCTCCTGGGCTTTTAAAAGCAGCGTTGCAAAGAACTTCTAGAAATAGCACAGGGATTGGAAAGCTATGGTCCTTTGTTGTCTTCCCTGGCCATGGTCCATGCTGCCAGAAGTTGATGGGAGTAGCAGTCCAACAACATCTGGAGGGTCATAGGTTCCCCAATCCTAAAGCAGAGGTCTTCTTTGGCATGAGGGTTTAAGTGCTGAAGGAAAGCTTCAGCTTTCTGCGTCTTTGAAGACACGGGAGCAAAACCAAGGGGGAAGCTGTCAGCTCTGGCCAAGCATATTTGTGAGCTTCTGCTGATTATTAGCAGCTAATACAAATTCTGATGTTATTTTAATGATTGCCCCCGATTTATTTTATGCTCATGGAATTACAATTCTGTGACACTAATATTTCACTGTATATATTAAGACCTTTGTGCTGGAGTGGGGTTGTGTGCATGATATGCAAATAATTAAAGTGTTTTTCAATTTTCTTTTTCGGTATAAACTTTGTGTGTGTTCTGAATGTTGCGACTCGGGTTTCTTTTTCGCTGACATTCGGTATCCGTCTTTCTGAGAGCACCCCATACCTATGCATGTTTACTTGCAAGTCCCAGTGTCTTCATGGGATGATGACTTTGAGTCTGAAGTTCCATCAACCCTGGTTTCCCATTCAAATTGGTCAGTGTAGACAATACAGAAGTAGCTGGTCCAATGATCTGAATCAGTGTAAGGTAGCTGCCTCTGTTCCTGGGTCCCTAATTTTGTTGGCACCACAGGCTCACTGAGCATGGAAAGTTCAATACAGATGTATTGCCAGCTCTGTTTCTCTCCATGGTAGGTCCCCAAACTGGCTGATCTTGGAGTAGATTGGAGGTGGCCTTGCTGGATCTGAAGCCCCTTCATTCACTCAAAAGGCTCCAGGGCTGAACCCACCATCTATGCCAAACCAGAGCTGGGATAGTTACTTTCCTCACACTGGTTTCATTGGGGGGTGTAGTGTTTAAAACAAGTATCTGCTAGACCTTTTCCTGGGACAACACACACACACACACACACACACACACAATATTCTTGCCCTGCCTGGTGCATGGATGGATGGGAGCATGGATTTGGGAGTAATGGGACTCTCTGTCACTTCACGCACATCCCCCCAACACAGGATTGCTCAGCCTAACATCAAAGTGGACCACAGAGATCTGATATCTGGAGAAAGCCCATCCTCCTTGTCTAGGGCTCAAGCATGAATATCCAACATCTTCTACAGAAGAATGGGGGAAAGCAACCCATTTTTTAATCTGTTCCAGCATTCATGTTATTTGGGCAGCTATCCAAGTTGGCAAGCAAAGCACAGAAACAGACCTGAACAGGAAGGTGAAAGCCCGTTGCCTTCAAAAGCAGATTCACTCAGGTCTCAGGTTTTCATTGCATGGTTAAGAACTGGGTTATCTGAGGCCACGAACGTCTGTAGTCAAGAGACTTCTGTCAAGTTCTCAAATGCAAGTTCTCAAATGCAGCTAGCAAAACCATTTACAACAACAGTGCCACAAGGCAAATAACCTAGAGCCACCGATATGCTCTCAGAAATATCATCTGAGCAACAATGATCTCAGAAATGCCACATTTCGAACATTTAATTGCAATACAGCTGGGAAGGAAGAAATGTACTGCCCTCTTGTGATAAATAAAAATGAAGTCAATTTTAGCTTGGCAGCATCTTCTGGTGCTTTTCGCTTTCCTGAGTGTTCTACCGCTAGGAATATACCTTGTTGAGAACACACGGAAGTCGTTCCAGCTTGAACAAAGCCATTTCCAGGCATGTCTTGATGCATTAGGGAAACAGAAAATAGTATGAACAAGTTCTTTAAGTACATATTAGGTTGCCAACTCTCCTCTCCCAGTCCCATTTTCTGTGCCTTTATAATAGCAACCCGTCACGTACAAATTAATGAGATGCTTTCCCCCTCTGCCAGGAGAAACTTCAGACAATTGTTTTAATCGTCATGCTCTCGTTGCTAAAACAGAGGTAGCAGACCTAGCTTCATGCCAAATGAAAGAACCATTATCTTCGTCTTCTTTCTAGTCACAATATACAAGCTCAATTAGAGAAAGGAAGGACTGGACCTCATTGGCTCTGCGTGCCGGACATCTCTGGTAGGCATCGCTAGGTAGTTAAGAAATAAACCTGCCTGTAGCAATAGACAGCAGCAGCTGCCGGTCAGGGTAGGGCAATACCAAGATAAATGAGCCAATGGTCTGATTTGATAGAAGGGAGTTTCCTATGAAGTTCTACCCCCATCCCCAAGAGTGACTGGACGCCATTACATTAACAAGTACATAGATTGGAATTTTAAATCCATTTCTATTTTATTTTATTTTTTTTCTTGTACAATATTAAAAGAAATATTTTTTTTTTAAAAAAAGAAAAACCAGAACCAAACTCTGGATACAACCGTTTGATCTGATTGAATTTTGAAGCATACGCTATGTATGCAAATCATTCTACATTGAAAAACAAATGCTCACACAAGATGGCATATAGCATAACAAACTGATGTAAATAAAATAAAAAAGTATTAAAGTATTAGCACATAACATGGATGTAGTGTATTAAGAAAACCGAAACATGTGTTTCATCACCCATTTCCCTTACTGAAAACAGAGACTTAGTCCCTCCCACCCAACTCTTTAAAAAAAACAACACAAAAAACCGCATTTGTTTTCATGAAGCCTTCTTTCCCAATAGTTACCTTCTAGTACAGCGGTTTTCAAACTTCTGCCTTTAGGGAATCCTTTTTACGTTGGCTGAGGGACTCTGGCAAACCTGCTACATAACCCCTAGTTGCTGCAGAGGATTTTGGGGAAACATTCTAGGGTGTAAACTCCGTGAACATGGGGCACAGACTAGGCCTGTTGGACCTCATTGCCACTTAACATGACCTGAGAACAAACCCTAGAACTCATCCAATACTCCTCTGTTACAGGGGGAGGGAAACGGAGGATTCAATTTTTGACTACCCTTCCATCCCAGTTGTCTTTCAAGAAGCTTCCCTCATAATGACCCTGAGATGTAGGTTAGGCTGGCCCAAGGCCACCCCTGGTGCTTCACAGCTCACCAAAGACTCCTGAGCAAGCTTAGCAGTCAAGGAATAAGAGGCAAAATCCCCTTGTGGATCAGGAATTGGTTAAGTAACAGGAAGCTACTAGCCATGATGTCTGGGTTTTCTATCTGCACAGTCAGAGGCTGCAGTGCTTCTGAATACCAGTTGTCGGAAACCACAGGAAAGGAGAAGGCTCTCGTTCTACTCCCTGGTTTCTCATAGGCATCTGGTCGGCCACTGTGAGAACAGGATGCTGGACTAGATGGGCCACTGACCTGATCCGGATAGCTATTATTAAGTTCTTGTGAAGCAGAGAGAAAGAATAGGTGGACAAGTTTTCCATATGGAAGGATGTAGGAAGTGGGGTCCTCCAAAGATCATATACAATTTAGAGTTAGGAGTGAGCAAGTGAGATGGCCTAGTTTGCTGATGATATTTAAGTGTTCATGGTGGTTAAAACAAACAAACAAAAAGGGGGGGGTTGTGAAGAACTCCAAAAGGACCACTCCACACTCCGTGGTAAGATGCCAAATGCAATTCAATGTAGACAAGTGGAAAGGCACAAAAACGTATTAATTTCACGCATGTCCTCATAGGGTCTGAACTGGAACAGGACTATGGATTCATAGTGCATAGCTCCATGAAAATGTTGACCCAGTGTGTGGCAGCTGTGAAGAAAGAAAATTCCATGCCAATAGGTCAATATGAAATGAAATGAAACCTGCCATTATAATAATGCTGCTACCTCAAAAAGGTTGGGGAAAGTTCGAAAGACTTGGAAAAAGTTCAGAAAAGGGCAGCCAGTACGATCAAGATGATGGAGCAACAGCCCACCAGGGAAGGTTACAGCATTAGAGACTTTTTAGTTTGCAAGTAAGAGGCGACACGATAGAAGTGCACAGCATGGAGAAAGTAGATAAAGTGTTTCTCCCTGTCTCCCTAACACTAGAACTTGTAGACATACAACGAAGATGAATGTTGAAAGATAAGAGAAAGTTAAAACTATGAAATCCGCTCCCACATGAGGCAGTGATGTCCATCAACTTGGATGGCTTTAAAAATTTAGGCAAATTCATGGATAAAACTATCAGAACCCCGATGTTCTGCCTCCAAATACCAGTTGTTGGAAATCGCTGGAGGGGAGAGTACTGTTGCACTCAAGATTTTGCTTTCCCGTGGACATCTGGTTGGCCACTGTGAAAACAGCTTTCTGGACAACGTGGTCAACTGGACTGATCCAGTAGGACAATTCTTAAGTTCTTATGGCTGAGTGGGGGTTTGAACCTTGGTCTCCCGAGTCCTAGTCCAACGCTCTAACCTCTACGCTGCGTTGGCTCTACACGCAAGGTGGCAGGCCTTCTCTCTTTCATGCTGGATCATCCACCATTACTTATGGTCTCATTGAGGAGCTCCTGAAAGGTACCCCAGGCTTCCCTTTAGCGCCGTTTGAAAACCACTGCTTTTAATAGCACAACTGGGTGACAAATTATAATCAGAACCTCACAATCTGCATATAAATCAGCATTTACATATGAAGTCACTCGACCTTTCGGATCGACTCGGTGCCACTCGCATATCCGTTCATTGTCGATACAAGTAGTGTAGCGTAAAAAAAATTAAAATTGGGTTTCACAAGCCAAAAGTCACATGTCAACGTTTTGTCAAATAATTAACAATAATTCCATTAGAAACAACTAAGCCTTTTTTAAAGTAAAAAAAAAAAAAGTATTTGAAAAGAGGGCTTCAATGAAAGCCCCTGTTCTCTCCCCCATCCCTAAAACACACACACACACACACTTCTCTGAATATTAGAACAACACCCCCCTCAAAATCTTCACTATCGTTTGGTTCATTACTTAATTTTTTTTCAAAAAAACAAGTTTCTGGCAGTTGTTTTACAATAGTAGTTAATGTTTTAGCTGCAGCTTTCACCATAGCATAACACACACTGCCTTTTAAATCACAGTCACAGGGAACCAGAGATTGTAGAAGCCCAGAAGGTCCCCCTCTCAGGCCTGATTCTCAGCTCTCACAGTATAGCTCTAAATGAGACTCCCCCACCCACTGGTGCCCTCCAGACATTGCAGGACTCCAGCTCCCATCAGCCTCAGCCAGCCTGGAGCAAACATCTGACAGCCCCGAGGATGGAGAAGGTTGCTCTAAACTCTCCAGTGGAGATACTCCTTATTCTACAATCCTAAGCATGTCTACTGGAAAGTAAATAAGCCCCACTGAGCTCCACAGGACTTGCTTCCAGGTAAATGTGCTTAGAACTGCAAACTTAAACCAAGCATACTTTCCTAATCAAAATGTGCCCCTCTTCACTTTCAGCTGCTTCAGACAAGAGGGAAGTGGAGCAAAGAACAGCATAATTCCTTTCTCCCAGGTTTTCCCATGTTCACAGCCCCCCGTCCAAAGATCTGGAGGTGCTCCAATAATAAAATGAACATCCCCATCGACTTCTATGGAGGAGTTCGCTCTGCTGGGTTAAAGGGATGCAGGGATGGAGATGTCCCTTCCACAGAAATGAATGGGAAAGACCTTGGTGCATACCATGTGGTTCACACACAGGATATGTTGCTTCTAAATGAGGTTTATTCTAGAAATGGCACCACTTGTCCTGAATTTTGCCCCCCTTATAATCTTTGGGAGGGTATCCATGGCACAAAGCAATACATTAATTATCCTTGTTGTTGCAACCTCTGACCCGGAATTTCTTGAGGACCTCCTCTGCCACCAAGTTCCTTCTCTAACCTGACCCCCGCTTTATACAGATGTGAACACTTTCTGGGAAATGAGCGAAGGGGGTTTCCATAGCTTGTACTCCCTGAAACAAATCGTCGGTGGGTATTTTGGATGTACAAACCGGCACGTGAAGTCCTTTCCCCTTTTCCTATGGCCAATGAAAATTTGGAGCTGGTCTTTCAAGTCTAAACTTATGTGGTCAGATCCCCACCCCCACAGATAAGCCAGCCCCTCTTCATTCAAGCCGCAAATCTCAGATATGATCCAAGTATGGCCAGATCTTATCTTGGATGCAACAGGGAACCATGGGGTTGTTTTCACATGTTGTAAGCGAGCACAAAGCCCCTAACTGGAGAACAATGATTTACATTAGTTTTGGAGCTGGTCCTGGATATTGTCTGCTTTCTGAGCATTTTCAGCCTCCCCCCCCCCGCCAATACTAAGAGAATAAACACCTTAGGACCTCCTGATTTGCATTTTATGGCCGATATCTATAAATAATAGGAAAACCCAGGGTCAGTGTTTGAAGATGTGCTTTCTATTTTGTTACTAACCAACTATATATGGTTAGCCAGCCAAGGAGAGGAAAGCCCTTTAAGAGAAGGGCACAGGGAATGCCCATTAACTGAAAATATACTCTGTGGGTACAACGATCTGCTAAAAGGAACGAAACTCACAAATGCCTGTCTTTCTACCTGTCTTCTCACCCACCCTGGCTCTATGAGTCAAATAAGGAACTTTTTACCTTTCATCATCCACATCTTAAAATATTTATAATAATAATAGTAATAATAAACCTAACAAGCCTGGTGCTGTCAGATCAGCTACCTTCAAGCAACAATTCTCCCATAAGGTAGTATTCACAGGTATTGATTTGATCAGTGGTGGTTCCACATATAGTCAGTTTCCCCGACCTGCACTTCTAAACACTCCAGCACTCCTATTTCCCGTTACAGCCATTCTCCTTCCAAGCCCAAATTCTGACGACTCCAACCTCCCCACCCATTTCACCTGCCTTTTTTCTTCAACTAGTCCAAAGAGAGGGGTGGGCAGAGGGGACCCATCCACTGTCCAACATTGTGCTATAGCATCCCTTTGCCAAGCCGGTGCCCGCCAGATGTTTTAGACTAGGATTCCCATTGGCCTCAGCCAGCATGAGTTGGCAAAGGTTAGTACGCTACAGCAATGGTTTCTTACTCTTAAAACTAATGCACAGCAAAGTGCTATGCCTCTTGCTTGCCCTGCCTATTGTGTATTAAGAGGCTTGCACAAATTATAATGCCTTCTATAAAAAGATGATTTTTTTTCAATATAAAAAAGCTTAAAATTCATAATTATAAATAATATCAGTTAAAAATACTTAAGGATCTCAGGACGTCATTTGCATTTCAGGGGAAGTGGAGATTGAAGTCCTTGATGCATTCTCAGTCCCACATATCAAGCTGTTTTTAATAAAGCAACCCTATATATGAATATTATAGGTATGGAGTACAACATGTATAGTGCCTTGTGTCCCATTAAGTCAAGAATAAAAAAAGCCATTCGGTTAAGAATCCTCAGCAACTTTGCCAGGCTGACAAATGGATGCTGGCTTATCACCTACATGATAACGTGAGACTCCTGTTTCTAGCTTCTTTAAAACTTCAACGACAAAATAATTACTAAAAATAAAAGAGAAGATAATGAGGCTTTACAAAATTAATTTTTACTGCATTCAGAAGTGTCAAACTTGTGCCGTATTTTTATCCTGAATTTTGGAGGGGGAGGGGAAGGTGTTCTGTTGAGTGTCCGCTTTGTGCAGACTAAAAGCTGCAAGAAAACCATGTTCTGTTGCAGAATTGTAGTGAATATTAAGCAGCTACATATAAAGTGTACTTCCTAGGGGGGGAAACACTTTCATAATCACATTTTTAGTGTTATATATATATGTCTGTGCGTGTGTATATATAAAATGGCAGCAATTAGTACCAAACTGGTCTATTTTACAATATTGTAGTAGTGTAAAAAAAAAAATGTAACTAAAAGATTTCACCTACAAACCATTCAATAATATATTGTGGGGGTGAGGTGGGGAGGAAATGCAAATAGTACTGTTTGTGTATTTGCAAAAAATCTGGATCTGGAGCCTTGTGGCTGATTAGGATTTTTTTAAATACAGCACAAGTTCACTTTTAAAAATGCAATGATTTTTAAAGCTCAAGTTATATAAGATGAGAAGCATTTGGTACTATTGTCATAAATACAGCTGTAGAACTGCACTCAACTTGATAACGTGCAGGATTTTTGGAACTAAGCTGCCTTCTTACAATCTAAAGCTTCTTCTGGTCAGATTTATTTTTTTATTATTTGCTAAACTTGTTGTGTGTAACTGATGGCTGTTAAGTTCAGCTATGCACCAAAAGACAAAGAGAACCGCTCATATGTAACTAAAGAGGAAAGGTTATAGATGTGTATATCAGCAGTTCTACTTTAAATATATATATATATATCTATAGATTTCATACTTAAGTTACTGTCAGTGAAATCTAGACCGAGATTCACTGATTAAAAGGGTCTCGCAGACGTCGGTAAGGCACCAAGGATGGCTAACTGAGAGGCTTGAGGATGCTCTGCCCTTATTTTTTGTTTTGCTAGGAGGAAAAGAAAACGTTGCATTATCAGTTACAGCCAGGTGAGAAAGGGCTCGTTTTTGTTGAGGACCGATTCTACATCGTTGAGGATGGGGATCAGGTCTTCAGATTCCAATGTCCCAAGGTCAACGTTTGTTCCTGGAAGACAGTCAAGGAAGTCGGGGAAACGGGTCTGTGGTGGGTTGATATTCAGGGGAGTCTGTGCTACATTATCTCCTGCAAAAGAAGAGAAGGAATCAGTGAGGCGGGAGCTTCTTAACCAGGAAATTATTCGCCCTTTGATGCCAAATCAGCCGCTGTTAGCTACTGGTAGACTTTGTTGCTCTCTCAGCTTCCATCTCGCAATCCAGACGCCCTGGTACTTTAATGTGGCTTAGAGGTCACAGTGCTGGACCTGGGAGACCTCTGCTGAAATCCCCACTCAGCCATGAAGCTCACTGAGTGATCATGTAGCTCAACCTACCGCACAAGGTTGTTGTGAGGATAAAATGGGGAGGGGGAGAACCATGTATGTCACCTTGCTCTCTTTGGAGAAAAGGTGGAGTGGCAATGTAATAATAATAATAAAAAAATAATAATAATGAAATATTTGGCGGGGCTCAACTTTCAAAACGATATAGCTCACACCCTAATCAGTGCTAGGATGGCAAAACCACACTTCACTTCTCACAAACGCCAAATGTAGTTACAGGACAGAGGTTTCCCTGTGTTGGTATCTGTGAAGACCCGTCGGGGATCACATTTCCGTAAGACCATCACAACTTTTGATTTCTAGTAGGCCGGAGAATACCTTCCAGAGGCAAACCCTCAAATCTGTTTCAGAAGTTCTTGTAGAACATTGAATCAGGTTCTCTCATGTAAACGACCAGCTGGAGAAGAGAGCGCCTCTGATCATGTGCAGAGTACCTGTTCTGCACTCCTGTGTCGCCAGTGCCAGCCCCACCCATGCCAAGGGGTTAATGGAAGGACTGATAGCTCAAATTACAGGTGGGATCAGAATAGGGTTCCTTCACCTTTGCAATGGGCCCCTTTGCTCTCAGTTTTAGAAGGGTGTAGGGAGCTATGGTTTGGTTAAAACTGGAGGGAGTCAAGGAGGGACACTTGTGGGTTTTATTAAGGGCCTCCCTACCTCCCCCCCAATAATGTATAGGAAAGTTTGAACCCCAAAACCCCAGTCTTCTTGTGCCCACACGAAAGCATGTGCTCTGTGCAAATGCAAAAGTAACATTGACAGTCAAGCGGATCTCTTAGGGCGTTGCTAAGAAGTATATATATATTTTTCAAAAATCAAAATGCTTCTCATTCCTACCTGTGTCCATCTCATCTACATTGCTGAGGTAGTCTTCAGGTGTAGTTGGTATGCTGTAACATCCTAAGCCTAGGCCACTGTCTGTGCTCTGCTCCCTGGAATGGTATGGCCCACTATGAATCGAAACATGAAGAAACCTCAGTCAAGGATGCGCTCATCAGATATATGTCACCAGAATGGCTTTAGGGAAGGACAGCCTGCAGCTAGGCCTGAATGCCCTAGATAGGCCTGAATGTACTCCCATTTGTTTGTGGGTTCCAGCTCACCAGCCTAAAATCTGCTACCTAGCGCAGAATAGGGCGATAAAAGCAAAGCTTCTAACCCCTGTGGTTTAGGCAGGTGGGCAGAACATGGCGAGAGCTCAGAAGCCAAAAGGAGCTACTGTAAGTATGCGTTAAGGAGAAGGGTCGTAACTCGGTGCTTTGCATGCAAAAGGTTCCAGGTCTGATCCCTGAAATCTCTCTCGTTCCCGGCTCTCATCAGCCTTTGCCAGCACGGTCAAAGGTCAGGGATGATGGGAGAGGCAGCCCAAGAATGTCTGGAGTGCCACGGGAGAGTCCCATCTCTGCAGTAGGCCATTCTGGGCCAGATGGAAGTATAGCCTGACCTGGCATAAGGAAGCTTCATATATTCATATACTGTACTCTGTGCACTGCACAGCTCCCTCTCCATACCTGCACGGTCCCAATTGCTCTGGCCAGGCTTCCTCCTTCCCATCTGACCCTCCTTCCACCCCACTCTTTGCCAAGAATTCCAAATTCATCAATAGCCAGATTCTTGGGAGAAAGCTTATGCACCGAATAAGTAGGCATTGCAAGCAGAAGTGCACGGTGATTTGCAAATAACCAAATCTGTTCCCAGCCATTCTCCTCTTGGCAGCAACAAAGGATTTTTTTTTGGGGGGGGGAAATGCCACACCCAGTACTTTAACTGGGAGTCAATAGCAATGATCTCCATGCTAGGGAATCACACCTCCACAAATACAAAATGATGCCAACTGTTGGTCTGCCATGTTGGTCTGCTAAAGCAAAGTTTCCAGCAAGCTTATTAGGACCAGCCAAGGTTCTTAATACGATGTACATGCTCCCCAGTTACACCAAAGTTGTCCTCAGAACGGATACCAGTCCTGTCCTGCCACACTGGAATGTACCCAGATCACAAGGATCTTTGGCCAGTTTCCGTCTGATATACATTTATAAGGTGCGAGTCATATACAGTAAGATCAGAATTGGTCATAGAGGCCTGGTTTGTATGTAACGTTAAACCATCGTTAAAACTAAACTATGGTTTATTGTGAATGTGCAGCATGGTTGTAGACGCTGCTGAAAAGATCCCGCTCCACTCCTCCGTTGCTGCTGGGGAAAATGTCAGCCTAGCATCTTGTGATGCCAAAACGGCAGCTCATGGTTTGTATATTTCCAAACAAACCTTAAGTACTAAGCCAAGAACAAACCTTAGCTACTGCTTGTGATTTGTTTGGAGAAGAAAAGACCACAAACCCAAGTTTGAATGTCATGACACAAGCCGGACTCTGGCTTGCTTCTCAGTGGCGTGGCTGCAACAGGAGCGGGGAAGGATCAGAGCAGGAACTTTTCAGCACTGAGCACGAGCACACAGCACTGCCACATTAAACCATGGTTTGCTTTTAACTATGGCTTAATGTGGTGTGGGAACTGGATCAGAAGGATCAAACACCTGCTTTATTAAAGGGTTTGCATCTTACAAGCAAAGCTGGTGGCTTCTGTCTCAGTCTACAACCCGAAAAGCTAAATGTCTTTGCTTAGAAATCACATGCCTTAGCAGGTATGAGAATTTCAAATGCGGCCTACGCTGCAGAATAACCAAAAATGTTTGTGAGCAAACAGTGTACTTGCCTGTTCAGGAAGGGATCCGACCCATTATTTGTAACAGACCTCATGTCTTGTGTCATGTTAGGAGGTGTGCTCACAGCAGTCTGAACTGGAGCCATGTTCTCAGACTCCATGGGAAGTTGTCTGTACAAATCAGCTTCCTAAAGTAGAAAACGAATACATAACTGTCAGTGCTGGGGCCGGGGGGGGGGCCTGGAAAGCAGGTTTCTAGAGGTACGAGTCCCACGTATATGCCCCATCCATCCCTATTTACCAGGGATGGTGCCTATTTTGTGCAGCCTGGTCTGGTTTGCTTTGGGGAGACATTTTGTGCATGTCTTTAAACAAATAAAAAATAAAAAACTGCTGGCAGACACATATGTGCTGTAGAATTCTGTAGGGTTCGGCTTGCCCCACATCTCTAACCTCTAGATGATAAAATGTCTAAGTCAGGAACCAAGGCATCTTGGCTCTAGCGCAGGTGGTCTGTGGATCACCAGTGGTCCACAAACTTCTTTCAGGTGTTCAGCGGCATTGTCTGCAAAAGCACCATTTAAAATCATACAGGATCTAGCACTGCACCTTGCAATTGCTACAACAGGCAAAAATAATAATCAGTAAGTGGTCCATTAGAAATGTTCCAAGTGATCCGTGGGGACAGGGGGAGTTTGGGAACTACCGCTCAAGTGCACAAGGCATACACATGCATAGACACAAAATTGCTGACTGGACCTAACGGACAGGGGTACCTTACCTTTACTAATGGCCTGCAGATCACAAATGTTACAAGGCGTTGCAAATATTTTAAGCGGCGATCCTAACTGAATTTAATGGGCCCACTGAATTCAATGGGCCTTACTCCCAGGTAAACTGTGTTTAAGTTGCATTTTAAATCGTTGTGACCTTCCCTGGGATGGTGTGGCAAAAGGCGGGTAATAAATCAAATTAATAACAACAAACAAACATGCAACAACAAAACGAGGTTAGGATTGCTGGATCTGCCCAGTTTCTTTTTCCAAACCCTGGCCCCTTTTGCTGGAAACAAATACCCTCCGTTATTTCACAGACTAGAAAAGGAAGGCAGAGGGGTTGGGGAAAGAGGTGATTCATTACATTACAGAATTTCACTAACACAGACATAAGCTTCTCAACAGGCAGTCCCAAAGAAGCCATTCAAAAAATGTCCACATACTGATCTCAGTAGGTGCATCATTATTTCCTGGAGCGACTTCTGATTTGCAGCGATGTAAGACAACGCAGGAAGCCCATGATACGAAAGTTAAGACAGCATGCGTGCATCAATTGATTCAATACATGGAGTTTGCCGCTCATACCCAGGAACTAGCGAGTGGGTACAATTTGTGCCAGGATGGCCTACAGTTAATGTGCAGCAGCACACCTTGTTTCCTTTCCTTTATTCGGAATATAATAACTGACTAAGGAGGAAGTAAGGATGCAAAACTTCTATACAGGAAGTACATGAGAGAATGCCAGGAATGTCTGTGTTGTTGTTGTTTTTTGTAGTGTGACAGTGACACCAAGTGGGGGAAAAGATGATGACACAGGGTGTGTTCCCATTTGTACTTGTATTCCCTAAGGAAAAATACAAAAGGAACTTCTATTACAGTGGTACCTCAGGTTAAGTACTTAATTTGTTCCGGAGGTCCGTTCTTAACCTGAAACTGTTCTTAACCTGAAGCACCACTTTAGCTAATGGGGCCTCCTGCTGCCGCTGCGCCACAGCAGCACGATTTCTGTTCTCATCCTGAAGCAAAGTTCTTAACCCGAGGTAATATTTCTGGGTTAGCGGAGTCTGTAACCTGGAGCATATGTAACCTGAAGCGTATGTAACCCGAGACACCACTGTAATAGGAAAGAGCAGAGAATCCCTATTTCTCTTGAGAGTCGTCTACACAACTGATTGCATACTGATCCAACTACAGATTGTAGCAAAAAAAATATGAAAAGTTAAAAAATATAGCACATTGCAATTCTAAGTTTACAGGTCTGCAAGTATGTCTGTGGGAATAATCCACTGGGAATTTTTCCTGCATAAACTCACAGGGCAACAATTCCCAGAGTTCTCTGTGAATGTATGATGGGAATGTGGGCAATTGAATACTTGTTATTGCTTCACTCCATATATAATCTTATGCTTGCACCCGTTGACTAACAGCAGCAACAGTCATGAAATAACACAAAACCTGCCATGGGGTGGGGGGCGTTGCATGTGTCTCAGTACCTTTACATTCAAGCTCTTTGCCACTTCAGGACAAGGTAACTATCAAACAATTAAAACCCGCTTCCCCCTTCTTTTCTCCCAGCACAAAGGAATATCAGACGGCTCACATTTGCTCAAACCTGCTGTGTGTACCACACCTAATGAAGTGGCAGTAAGTATCACAGTATGTATATGAAATATAATATCACTGGCTATTTCCTGTTGTCCAGCCGGGCAGATTTAATTACCTCTCACCCTGGAAATCTAATGACACTGCTTCTGGAATGCAAATGGGAACCAAACCTAGTTTGGGATGCTGACGCGGTACATCTGGCACCCTCCTCTCGGATTGCTAAATTCAAACTGTGCCTTTGAGACCTCAGAGAAACCTGTCGTTTTCATGCTTTCACCAAAATCACTTAATGTATGTCAATAAGTACTTGTGTTTTAATGGAAGGGCGCTAGGTGATATATCTGCTTTTGAATTCTGGTGCTGGAGGAGACTCTTGAGAGTCCCATGGACTGCAAGAAGATCAAACCTCTTCATTCTTAAGGAAATCAGCCCTGAGTGCTCACTGGAAGGACAGATCCTGAAGCTGAGGCTCCAATACTTTGGCCACCTCATGAGAAGCCTTGACTCCCTGGAAAAGACCCTGATGTTGGGAAAGATGGAGGGCACAAGGAGAAGGGGACGACAGAGGATGAGATGGTTGGGCAGTGTTCTCGAAGCTACCAGCATGAGTTTGACCAAACTGCGGGAGGCATTGGAAGACAGGAGTGCCTGGCGTGCTCTGGTCCATGGGGTCACAAAGAGTCGGACACGACTAAACGACTAAACAACAACATCCAAACTGGTTTGAAGTCCATATCATGATATCGGTTTCATATTTTTTGACCTGGCAATGTATTGCAAATCATGGTGTGTGTGTGTGTGCACGCGCTATGCAAAAATCGCAATGTGGGAAAAACCGTGAAGCCAGCCAATGCCTCTCCCCGCCACCCCCAACACACACATTGATTTTCCCTTCCTTTGCTCTTCTCAGGAGCTCTTGGGGAAGCTGTGGCCTAGGATCTATGAGCAGGGCTGTTGCCTCCGTTGCGCAGATTTGCAAAATTGGAGAACACACAAACAATTTGCAACTGAACACGCGGAATGTGGTGTAGGGCTGGGTTACTCGCTTGCATCGCTGGCAAGGCTAGTCTGCTTGCCTGGGGCTACTTCACACAGTGATGTTCAAAGGCTGCCACCTAAATTTCAGCTGGCAGACTTCCTTATTACGTGCTCCCCATTTAAAGTAAGGGTGGGAAACCTTTTTCCCTGCCAGTGGCCGCATTCTCTCAGGTGGTGATGTTTCAGGGGGTGGGCACATGCCGGAGATGGGTGGGGCCAGAGGAGAAAATAGGGCAGGGCACCCCCCCTTCTACTAACCTTTTCCCCCTCCTCAACTGCCCACATGGAATTAGGTCATGGGCCACAGGTTGCCCACCCCGTGGCTATAAAGCTCAGGTACCTTCTGTAATACAAGCAGTGGAAGCTTTGTGGCACTCTTGAACTAGGCCGAAAGCCTTGCCTATAGTAGCATCCTTCAATCTTCTGCCTCCAGATGTTGTTGGACTACCTTTCATCATCCGCTGGCTATGCAGGCTGGTGCTGGTGGGGGTCTGAGTCCAGCAACATCTGGGGAGCCAAGGTCGAAGAACTCTGGCCACAGGGCAACTTTTGTCATTCCAGAGGTTGCTGGACTACAACTCCCATCAGCCTGAGCAAAGGCAACCAACAGCGAGGGATTGTGGGAGTTGTAGTCCAAAGCATCTTGTTGGGAGAAGGGTGAGTTAGACTAGGATTCAAGTGACCAGACTTCGAAATTCCCAGTCACAGAGTGGCGTTTGCTAAGGAATTGTTAGGAGACCCCAGGATTCTTTGGGGGAAGTTGTGGTGGTACGATGCTCCTTTAAATGCAAGGCCTCACTCTGCCTCATGGTAGGGCTAGTCAACATCAGAGTTTACAGCACGTATGGGAAAACCTCAAGCCTTCAAGTGTTTCTCTGCCTGTGTGGACTGTACCCCTGAAGTCTGATTCAGGAGAGAGAGAGAGATTGAGAGAGAGAGAGAGAGAGAGAGAGAGAGAGAAGAGAAACTAGCCTACTGTACAGAAGGTAGAACTCAAGTTCATTCCTCTACCCTCTTTTGCACCGTAGGAATGTGTCCCACCTCCTATTCTGGAAGGGAATGCGTCCCTCAGGTGAAAAGCCTTCTTCACCCCTGCTTTGCACCAAAAGAAGACTTTAATGAGGGGTGTTTCGGGTCTGTTACGGCAGTGCCAAGCGGATGACAGGTCTGTGAGCACACAGAACCAGACATGACACTTCTGGGAGAGCAGCAAGTCATCTGGCAAAAAGAGTCCCTCCTGAGGGCCAATCATGACATGCTCAATCATTGACACCTTCTTCTCTTTTTCTTTTTTTAAAAAATGACCTTTGGCAGCCGTTGCAGTCTGTTCTCTTTGGTGGTGGTGCTGTGAGTACAACCATCTTCCAGAAAGCAAAGGGGAGAGGAGTCAGGAAAAAAAGAGAAAGGGGAGATCAAGGCAGCTGTGTGATGTTGCTGCAGCATGTTCAAGTGTTCACTGTCTCTACACACACACACACAACTATTTCTTTAGACACACACAGAGAGAGAGAGAAGGAACCAGGTGCCTTATACTGAGTTAGACCATTGGGCCATGTAGTTTAGTATTGTCTACACTGGCAGGGACGTGGGTGGTGCTGTGGGTTAAACCACAGAGCCTAGGGCTTGCCAATCAGAAGGTCGGCGGTTCAAATCCCAGTGACAGGGGTGAGCTCCCGTTGCTCGGTCCCTGCTCCTGCCAACCTAGCAGTTCAAAAGCACGTCAAGTGCAAGTAGATAAATAGGTACCACTCTGGCGGGAAGGTAAACGG